GGATGGGACCTTTAAATTAAAACTTACATGTGTAACTTCCTGTAGAAAGTGCATATATTCAACAAATCAGGAGCTGATCTGAGTCCTTATAGAGTCTGTATTCACTTCTTTCTTTCTTATTGTTTACTTCTCTCACTCTCACTGGTCCTGCCCATCTGCCTCACGCGCTCTTTGACACACTGCTTGGGAAAAGTGTCACCTCTGAGTGGGACGGTCAGAACAGCTGGCAGCAACAGGTGAGAGTCAGTGACATGAAATAACAAGTTGTGTCTGAAGAGACTTTGTTCACTCTCGCCTGTATCATGTGACTGAACATCAGTAACTGCACACGGTCAGCTGTGACAGCAACGATATGATCACGTGATCATGACGGATGCTACAGTAACAGCAATAAATGACCTACAGTTACTCTCACACTTCCCTCATGTGACCCCCCCCTTCCCCCCGCTGCAGGCTGTTTACCCCCTGCAGAGGCAGTAACTAATCCTAATCTAACTAATCAATATATTTACCTCCTAAAACCAAAGTCAGGGCTGAACTCAGTGGCCAGGTTCTACTTTATGAAGTCTCCAGATTAAATGCCGCCTGAAAGCAGGGGGGGAAATAACAAAAAGATGGGAGACTTTGTTGATTTGAATCTGCTTTAAAAATAATGTTATTCCCTGTTGCTTCTAAAGCTCCATATTTTCTTCTTCTTCTGTGTTTTATTTGAAGTGTTGATCCATAAGAAGATATATTTGTGATTTAAGAACAAAAAACCATCCCAGTGTAGTTTTGCATCTCCTCTCTCAGGCTTCTCTCTGGAGCTCTAGTAACAACAGGTCGGTGAGCCAATCAGAAGAGAGGAGGCTCTGCCTTGTTGTGACATCCCATAGGTACAGGAAGTCCTAACGGCTGGTTTTAAGGCTCAGTTTCTGAATACAGGCTGTGTGCATTTCTCTGTGGACTGAGGCTTTGATACTTTCACAGTATTAATATAGAACCTAGACCTGATCTATAATCAAACTACACATGGACACAGACCTTTAGACTATATGGGACTTTTAATTTCTCTAAAGCACTTTGTAACTTTTATTTTGAAAGGTGCAACAACGGATTAAACACAAGAAAGAGGAAAATGTTTGAGGAAAAGATTTGCAAATTAGTGATAGAGATATAGAAGAATCAACATACTGTATATGTGGAAGAAAACACAATGCATGATGCATGAATGCGTCAGATTTGCCGTGAAGACATAATAATAAACTAATGCAACTCTCCAGATAATAATCCGACAGCAGCTGCCGTCTCTTCCCTTGTTTCCTACCCGCAGTGGTGACAGCAGTAAATCTTTTATAGTGGTATTTACAGTTGGTGAGAGCCAGTAGCTACAGCTCCTCTGGTTGCTGTAATTATCGCCTCAGTGTCGCCACACAGCCTGAGCAGCAGCTTTTCCCTTTGAACTGCAGGCAGGGCCGCTGATGAAGATCCAGCAGAGGCCCAGCGCAGCTTTTGTTCAGGTCTCCACTGAGGTTTTACTATAGATATATAATATATATATTATTATATATATATATAAAAAAGGGATGAGACACAAAGATTGGGGATTACAGGTGGATTAAGAGTTATTCAATGTGGTTAAAGTGGATAGAGACAGATTGGATTAGAAGTCTGGTCATATATTTTATCTGTTTCATATATTTTAATATAATTTTTCCCACCTTTCTATACTTTCAACACATCACAGCTGCAGACACAGAATCTTTTCCTTTCTCTAATGGTTTTTTTCTACTTTTATCAGATCACTTCCTGTGAAACAGCTGAGTTTCCTCAGGAAGGAGCCATTTAGAGTTTAGGATCACCACAGGAAAAGATGATACTGGTTGAATCACTGAGTTATCTCAAGACTGAGAGAAACTAAATGCCACATATTGGGTCTGTGAGTGAAGCATCAGAGGATAAAACGCAGATTTAAATGTTATTATATATAAGTATATGGTGAAATAATAAGGAAAGAGAGGATTTCTATAGACACTACTCACCCTGCATGTGTCTAATTCAACCGTACGACAGCTTTATGCACAAAAACATGGAGAAGTTTTACACAAACCGGTGAGTTTTCCTACCTTGAATCTCACTTTCTTGAGCATCATCCCTGAATCTGGCCGAGGAGACGGCGACAAACACGAGATGTTACCAAACTTTTCCAACTCCTCCGCACTCCATCCAGGAAAAACAGCCTCCACAATCTAGTCCAGTCCAATCTGATTCCAAATCCAGTCAAAACATCCAGAGTGAGTCACGGTGTGCTGAGCGCGGTGAGGTGTCTGCAGACTGAGGCTGTGTGTTCAACATGCCAAAGACAACAGTGTCTGCTCCAGCGTCGCCCTGCTCTCCCCTCTCCCCTCTCCCTCCTCTCAGACCCTTCACAAAGCTTATCAGCCTGCTCATTCATTCGGAAATAGACACACCCTCTTTTTATGACTGGAGGGCTGCTATTAACACCCCCCCCACCACCACCACCACCACCACCACCACCACCCCTCCTCCAACAACACCCCACAGCCCAAATATGGGTGCTGGTAAGCTCTCTTGAACTCGCCCCCTCTGACCCTTTTAAAGCCCTGCTCCTGCCCTCCCAGACTCACCCTCCCCATCCCCACCCCCCCGCCTCAACTCCCAGCATTCACCCATCTGTTGGGCCGCAGCGTCTCCGCTCGACATCTGACTCACCTCCTCATCTTCAGCTTCTTCGGTCACATAATCCACCTGTGAACACGGAGCACAAACCAAGTCAGTCTCCACAAGCCAGAACCTCCTGCTCTGATGCAAAGATCTATACCCTCTATATCTATATATGTATACTCTATCTATATATACCCTCTATATCTATACTTTATTTATACTCTATCTATAAATACTTTCTCTATATATATATATTCTATATCTATACTCTGGATATCTATATATGTATATTTTCTATATATACTCTATATCTATATTTACTCTCTATATCTATACTCTCTATATCTATACTAGTCTGAAGTTACTCTGACCTTTCCACTGGAGGGTAAAATGTTTTCATCCGAGGTTAAAACAACGACTGTGAATGTGACTAAAGAAATAAGGATTGTTTTGACATTTGACCTGTTTGTTTGACCTTTGACCCCAAACTCCTGAAAAAACAAACACATAAAACATGTCCACACCTCATAAAATCCTCCTCAGTTCACAGCGTCAGTCGATGAACTCTGACTTGAATAATGTGATTTCTGTTCAATATTTTGGACAATTCATGCTAAATTAACAATAAACATCAGCATGTCAGCATGCGCTCATTAGCATTTAGCCTAAATATTGTATTGTTTATCATTTATTATAGCTATTATTATTATCATTATTATTACCAGTGAGCTGCTGGACACCTGAATTTCCCCTGGGGGATAAATAAAGTATATATCTATCTTAAAGCTCCCCTGTGCCTCAGCACATCCTCAGTGTTTCTGGATACAGTTCCTACTGTATGAAGCTGGCACCACTTCACTAATGGAGCCTGCACTTGAATGAAAGTACAATAAAGAACAGACATGAGTCAGACATGAAGAGAACAACCTGTGGCTCACAGCTCCGTGTTTGGTCCGGCCTCTGTGACCCTCTGTGGTGTTTTTGCAGATGCGATGAATCATCCTGAGGGACTTAAAGGTGTCAGTGATTAGTCATCACATCAGACACAACAACATGAAAAACCCTTTTAAATTTAAACTGAGTTGATCCAGGAAACACATGCTGTGTACAGCTAAAGAAATAACACACACTCAGGCAGACGCTACAATTCACAGATAACACAGTGTTCATATGCAGGCTATCGGTAGACATTACATTTTACAGATGTTCCCTGAACGCCTCACATGCAGGCAATCAGTAGACACTAGCTACTGCGCACATCACCAGGGGCCCCACTTGGGGGTGGGGTGGGTGTGGGGGTTAGGGCAGCAGCAGTGTATGGTGTTTTTATGGGAGGTTTAAGGGGGTTTATAGCTGTCATTGCAAAATGTGTCAATACAGGGGGCCATCGGGGGGCCCCTTCTCCTCTTGGGGGGGGGGCAAACATTTGCCTGGTTTGCTTCTCCTGAGGTTGCGCCTCTGTAGAAGTTTTCTTCCGTCATCAATCCAGAGCTAAATGCCAGAAAAATACAAAATAAACTGCCTTGGGAGCAACAGAGACCACGTCACTGTAATACAGCAATATTTCTGATTGATCATTTCCAGCTACGTTCCTGGCGCTAATTAAGACAAGCTATTTGAACACTTTAATTTTTAAAAAAAAATTTAAAAAAAAGCAGTCAGGCTTACATTTTCAGTAATACATTTTATTCCATTAAAGAGTCTTTTTTTCTAATTGTACACTGGAATGTTAAGATTCCCCTTCAGTAATTTAGTTAAAAATGGTCAAAACAGCCATTTTCAACCCCATATCCACACAGCCATTGCTAAATTGAATTGAAGTACAAATGAAAAAAAAAAAAAAAAAAAAAAAAAAAAAAAAAAAAACAAGTACATGAAAGACAAACGTTATATTAAGAATAATCATGTCGATGCACTGCGAGAATGTAAGTAAAGGATGACTGGGTGGATGAACAGCAGCAGTCGCTCCGCTCAGCTCGGATGTGCGGGGAATGGGTTGAGTGTCGGGCAGGCAGGCTGTGATCCCCGCTCTGCTACTGTGTGTGGACTTCTACAGTCACACCAACACACATCACACACCCGCTCCCATCTCCGGTCTTAAAGAAAAAAAAAAAAAAAGAGGCCTTGTGGGATGTCACATTAGGGGCATGTGTGTTGTTTCTGGGCTGCGTTCAAAGTACTTTTTCCTTTTTTAATTCTGTCGTATCTCAGGGGCTGATCGTTGGGACTGAAATGGACCAGGGTGAAACATGGCATTTCCTTTTAACAAAGTGGAGTGGTTGCAATTGTGTTACAAAAAAAAAAAAAAAAAGATTGTAAGACAATTCAACAGATGCAAAAGTCAAATGTTTTTACTGGTGGTTAACTTTGCCCTGCAGCTGAGAATCACTTACAAAGTCCTGCTCTTCACTGTCAAATTTCAATATCCAGATTAGTGGTAAACAATGACAAATTATACAGCACAGAACAGTAAAAAATACCAAAGTTAAAAATAAAAAGGACAATGTTGCTGATGATAACCGCAGACAGTACAGACAATATGTTTAGCAAGGAGCCATAATTTTTGCTTTTCAGCGAAGAACCAATGTGTTACTTCTACAAAAACTGAAAAAAAAAAATAAAATAAATCAGTGTTCTCACAAGAAAGAAAAAAATAAACAAAAAAAACAATCATCTGAAGTGAGATATCAATAGAGCAAAATCACAACAGTTTAACGATTAAAGAGCGACAGGCTTATAATGATTGAGACAGCTACAATGCTGTTATTATGGATAAGAAAATCTGAAGAAGAAAGAAAAAGCAAGAACCCCATTCAAGAATCGACGAACCATTGTGAGTGTGAAGGAGACAGTTTGTGGAGGATGCTAAACTAGCGGCGCTCATTCTTAGTGGAGACTGACACAGCGGCCCCTCAGGTCCCTGTTCTCCCTCTCTCCCACCTGGCAGGGTTTTACTGATGAAGAGATGGATGCCGGCCTCTCGTGGCCCCTCCCCCCCCCACCACCTGCAGTCATCCTCTACTGTGTCTGAAGTTCTTTACAGCTCTTCTTGGCGAACACAACAGCATCAGCGTAGTTTTCTTTTTGTGTGGGTTTGTTTTTTTTTGTTTTTTTGTTTAACCTGTTCAATTAACTCTATATATAGATGATCCTCTCTCATACAAACATATAAATACACCACCGCTGCTCTGCTCCACCACAGGAAGAGGCTTCGTCAGAGGGCTGACGCAGTCCTGTCGATGTACAGTCTCTGAAGTAGTATACAGGGTGGGCAGGCAAGAAATCTTCAATCTTTCTCTGTAGCATAGATTTGGACTTTTTTTTTTTTGTTGGTGATTTTTCTTTTAAATTTTGTCGTTTTCTCAAATATTTTTTTCTTTTTTCTTTTCTTTTTTTTTTGTTTTTACAGGATTTCATATTTGTCGACCAGGAAGGAGATTTCTGAAGAGAATCTAACGGAGCTGTCGCCGTCTACGTGAGTCACTTTGGTAACCTGGGAAAAAGAAAAAAGTCAGTTACTAACATGTAAGTACGAACAATACTGAGCACAATCAGGAGCGACCACAACTGTTTCTGCACATATTTACGCTTCACACAGTATCAATCCACAACATTTTACTCATGACGTGAAAAGTTTTTTCTACAGAACATCAACTAAATTTGACCCACTTTTTTTTCTTTTAAAACTTAAAGAGTCTCAGCCTTGTTAACTTCCACAACTAAAGACAGTTTATATAAAAGGTGTGTTTTGCTTCCCTCTGTCATTTCAGACCTCAATGATCCACAGTTCACTGTTGAGGAAATGGAAATAGAAAAAATGACAGACGTGTTTTAATTTAAACGTCTGTCAAAAAGTGGCCCTCGCTGTTTGGAGGTTTTATTGTCGATCATTAAATGCTCGTCGTTAACGTGGAGGTGTAGTCTGATGGACTTTCAAACATAATCAAAGGTGCAATAATGATAACGGGCTGAAACTAAGGAGTATTTTAATGATTCATCATTATTTGATAAAAAAAAAAAACTGGAAAAAAGCTCATCAGAATTTATATATACTAGATACTAGATACTGGATACTGGATTCTTGTGGCTGATTCTCTGTAAAAATAAGAATATATTTAACAGATATTGGACGGACTTGTGATGTATTGTTTATTCCTAACCTAACTGATTTGTTCTTGGATTGTTGTTTGTAGAATCTCAGATTCGTATTTATTCTGACGCTCTCCTTCTCGTTGTGTGGTTTGTGTTTGATCTGACTGACACTGATGGTGGACCGCTGGGGTCAGGACTAGAAAAGTTCTGACTTCTTCCTGTTCCTTTTCAAGCATGGATTTCTTTATCTGAATTATTTACTAGGACTCTGATGTGTCTGTTGATGTTTTTTGCTTATATACTTCATTTTGTTTTTTTTTTGTTCAAAATAAACCGGATCAATCAAAAACATTCAACAACAATCAACTAATCACTGCAGCAGGAAAATGTGTTCATTTCTAACCAGCAGTTGCAAACGATTCAGGTTCAGAAATTACTATCTCGAAGTTGATGAAGACACAGGCACAAAGACTGACACAGAAACCAACGACAGGTAAGACGTCTGCTCCGTCACCCACCTGGATGTCGCAGTAGTTGCGCTTGGACACAAAGGACACATTGATGGGGAAGAAGTCGTTGGGCTGTCCGGCGATGCTGAACTCCAGGCTCCCGGTCTTGTTGTTGGCATCGATGACCGGTAGGCACCACTCCAGGACGTTTCGCCTGCTGTCGTGTTTGTACTCTCCGTCCAGATCTCCGATCACAGGAGCTCCCACCCCGGATCTGCAGAGCAGCAGGGAGACAGACACACATCAGCACATGTCTTTGTTATGGATGCATTATTTCTTCACGATGAAAAAGTACAACCCTTTAAAACAAGATTCAACTTTCTGTCCTTTGTGTATTTTGAGGTTTCAGCCACGTCCCATTAAGTTTATAAAACTAACGGCTTCCCATAATATGTTTCAAATGTTATGATAGTGTATAGGTGTGATTAAAACTAGAACATTCACCAGTGTCTTAACTCTTAATTTAGCGAGGTGACCAGATCTCAAATCTGAAAACACTGAGTATATATCAACAACAATGACAAACAGTCAGTGTGACGCAGGAACAGCTCCTGAGTCAGGCAGCGTCTCGTCGGTGTACTTACGGTACAGGGATGCTGATGACCACATCGTTGAGCTCGAGACTCTCTTCCTGCAGCTCGTATTCAATGTTGACATCACAGCCGGTGCCGCTCTCTGAAGGCCAGCAGTTTACTGTGAGGTAGATGAGGAGATTAGATCAGAGATCAGATTATCTGATGAAATAAACAGCAGCAGCATCATTTTAAACTGGATTTACTCCATGAGTTTCCAGATGAAGCACGTGCGTCAGAACGTACTGGTTATAGGTATGAGGGACTCGTCTGTGGTCTGTAGTCTCCACTTCAGCACACCGACATCGTTGTTGAGAGGGAACGACTTCTCTGGATTCTTCAGGCCGATCACCGACTCCGCTGTGAACAACTTCTTGTCCACGTTGGGATGTGTCTGAGTAGAGACGACACACGGAAACATGAAACCAGAAACCAGAAACGAGGGCGACGGCTTGTTTTAGTGTCAGGTTTTAGAGTCACTGTGTGATGTGCGATGTGTGTCGACCTACTTGCAGCTGCAGTCCTTTGTTGTCATTGTTGTTGATAATGAGGCGAATGCGTCCGTTCTTGTCGTCCGTGACTCGGAGCGTCACCATGCCCAGCACCTCCATGTTCTGTAGGCCGCCGTCACGACCGCAGGTCAGCGAGATCTTCTCCTCCACACGCAGATGTACACTGGAGAGGAAACACATCCAAACAGTACGTATGTGTTATAATGTCGTGTGTATTCAGTGGTTACTTTGAATAAGTGGTTGAGTCGAGGCTGTACGAGGTGTGAAGTGTGTTCTCTCTGCTGTGTAAATAGTTACACAGCCAATGAAGACCTGCCACAGCTCACAGGATGTTTAGCTGACTCTGCTACCTAACTTGATCTGAGCTGTGTTGGTGGAAGAGATATGATCTTTGGCTCGGAGAAATGATGTCGACTGAACAGTGAGTGGATTCTACTTTCTTCGGTCTGGGGAGCTAACGCTAGTTAGCAGCTGTCTGCAGGTATCAGGCTGACGACACTGCAGATTAATTAGTGAGCAGACTTTCAGTTTATCACAATGAGAGTGGGTGTTGAAGCATCTGCTACAGTGAAGCACCCTTAAATCAAGTAATCTTTGATTTTTGAACTGGCCCTCTATTTTCACTTGATTGGAAAGTGTTGACCTCTAATGATGCCAGAACATTAATCATATAGACCATGTTGTGTCTGTACCTCTCCACGTTGACTGGTGGTGGCAGAGCCTTTGAAACATCTGAGCCTCTCTTTCCTGTGGAGGGCATGATGGTTTCACCCTCAGACTTGAGCTTGTCGACAAAGTTGTCCACCTCTTTCCCTTTAGCGCCCAGTTTCAGAGCCTTACTGGGTCCACTGGGTCTGAAGAAGAAAAAGACAAGAGGCTTCTTCAGTACCACATTGCATTGTAACGCAATCCAATACAAGAGCAAGCAAAGTTTAAATCAAAAGCAGCTGATTGGTGTGTTTGTCTGAGCCGTACCTGACTGCAGCGGGTGTGATCTTGGGTTTCTCTGGCTCGACGATGGTGTCTGTGATGATGGACCCCGAGGAGACGCTGGTCATGCCCGCGCTGCCGAAGCCGCCGAAAGCTGGCACCTTCTTTCCAGAGCGCTCAGCGTCCCTCCTAGCCTGCTGCAGCTCCTTGGCTTTCCTCCTCATCTCTGCCTTGGCCTCTCTTTCCTGAGTCTGTGTGATTAAAAAACAGCAACATTTCAATTACACATTTACACATTTTTAATAATACACTGAGAAAATGACACGTTTTCACTGGTGTTTGAAGTTTGCATTATTTTTCTACCCAATAAATACATAAAACTGCGTAACAGGATTAAACTAGTCGCTATATTCATGCTTGCAAATGGACATTGTTTGAGTATCCCCTTATTTTGTGTCTTCAATGACCCAATTTTCCCACAGTGACCGATAAACTTATCTTAACAGTGAGACCTCACCTCTCTGACAGCGCGGAAAACCTTCTCCTCGTGAGAGTCCATCTCTGTGAAGGTGCGGATCTGAGCCAGGTTGACGTTCTCCCTGTAGCCTAACGCCACGATCTCGTCGAAGGCGAAGATCAGGTCAAAACAGTGCTCCGATATCTCGCTCTCCTCCAGCACACGACAGTACTCTGGGATCTGAACAGGCGGGGAAGAGAAATGAATGTCAACCAAGTGAGCCAGAGCAAACATTTTAACATCTGGGACACCTGCAGTGAAAAACAGATGTGAACTGTTATAAAGTCACAAAATGATGAAATATAAAAGCCTAAAGCTGACAACTACACTGACCATGATGCATCTGATCCTGAATGAAAAAACAAACAACTAAACACTGTGAGACTGTTTATTCTTTATTCTGGATCTGGAATAAAACACTGTAAGACTTTAAGGAATGCTCCTTTTTGCTGAACTTAATGAACATTGTTTTCCGATTATTTTTGGGCCATGAACGCACCTTTCACCTATTTCTGAAAAGCTGTTTGCTTGCAACTCTAAACCAGATAAAGAAATGGCAGCTGCTGTTCAGTATTAATAGCAGAGCTTGAAGCTCTTTGTATTAATACGGACGTCAGGCTCTGAGCAACTGTAACAGACATTAAATAATAAGTTAACTTAATGTAATCTACCTTTTAATTAGAGACGTCCCGAGCCGATTGTAAAGATCGGTACCAGGGTTAATGCGGACATTTTAATGGATCAGTACAGACTGATTAAAACCACATCCTTTCGTTACTGTGCTCTGCTGTTTAATCCATATTTTATTCTATATTCAGCCTCATAGTGTTGCAGCTCCTCTCCTTTAAAACAGACAGGCTCAACAGTGCAGCATACCACTGCATAAACCAGTGAAAATTAGCGTGTGTGAATGTGAAATATTCGTTGGGTACACCGAGTTCAGACACTGAATTTAGTAAAACACACAGACTCGCTGATCTCCGATAGTAATAACCATCAGCAAAGCAGTGCAGAAAACATTAAGAAAGCAGATCCTCACTTTTAGCCGGTGATGCTTTCGCTGGTTGAAATAATTCCTGTTAATTCTGTGTGTTACTTCATGACAGGCATAAACTAACCACAGCTGTTGTCAGGGTGTGTGGTCTCTTTACATCACTGTCTGTACTTTTTAAAAGATCATTTGTGAGGGAAGAACCTCCACTCTCGAAACACCACTGTACATCCGTGAGTGAACTGAGTATTTCTTTAGTTCCAACAATTCCAACAGAGTGAGACGTCTTCTCTCTAGTGGATCACGTCACCTCACTTTAATTTTTTTTTTTTTTCAACTTTTATTCATATCAACAATAATTAATAATTGAAGCTTGAGATTGTTGGACCATGACCTTCAGTATTCGGATCAAAATGCTAATAGAAAATAAGCTGTGTGATCTGCAGCTGCGTTACTTCAGTGTGTGAGATCGATAGACAGACACCCAATACTGAATGACTTGGATCAGGGCCAAAAAATTAAAAGAAAAAAACAAAAACAAAACATGACCAGGACATCCCTACTGTTAATTATTACATCTTTTTTTTTACCGTTTTGGATTGTAATTTAAGATCTTCCATTTTCAAGATAAAGTGAGAACATTGAACACTGAACCAACTTCACTATCATTTCCCCACAGTGTGTTAATTAAAGGTGTCAATGGTTTACTAATCAAAACACCCAAATACAACCTACACACAATTTTGATTTTCTTTCTACCTCGAATGAAAATCAACTAAATGAAATGAAATCGTCTGAAAAGTGAAAACGCTGTCATCATATTACTTGTGCAGTACTGATGTTTGTCAGGAAATGGAGGAAGGCAGTGCACAATAGTTTGCTGTTACATGGCAAAGATAACTTCAGGTTGTCAAGAAATTTACTTGATGGACTGATCTGCTTGAAGCACGTTAATTACTAATTAAATGGCTTCACAGGGTGAAGTTGTCTCTGACAGTTTTCTCTTTTTTAAAATCTTGTAAGGGAAGGTGTCTGTGTTTGTTGAGCACTGCAGCATGAGTGTCATGATCAAAGCTACATATGAAGTTAAAAAATATTCCTCATTAACGGTTGAATCTACGCACTTCCATTAGACAATTACAACAGCAGACTGTAGTCTATTTTAGGTTTTCAGGTTTCAAATGCAGATACTGTTGGATGTCTACAATCAATCTACCTACAACAGATATACCATCAATGAGCAGTGAGAGGCTGGAGGTTGCTTCAGTGCATGGTACTGTAACTCAAAGGGAAACATCTGCATCTAGTGACAGGTCACAGTGACCGTATGTAGTGTGTGAAAAAGATCTCAGGGATTAAAGCAAAAAAACAAACAAACAAAAAACCTTTAGCCCTCGACACATGCTAAACAAGACAATTATGAGATTTAAGCACCACCCCACACACAATCATTGCTACAGTTCAAGCAGTGCCATTTGCCATACTGAATTCTCTCGTGACATACCATAAACACACACCTGGCTATTCGATTTTTTTTTGGACCATGAACTACAAGGTTAGCAGAGACAAGCCCATTTATTTTTGACTGTTTTACTGATCTCTGATAAATCACGTTAGCTAACCTGAAACACCTGGTAGCGCGATTTCTAAGTCCCGTAACACATGAGCTGGTCCTGACCTCCCTGGGGCCCTAATCAAAATTCTGCTAAGGGGCCACAACCCCTCCCATCTGTGAGCTATGTACCATTTTCGAATATAAAATACTATTTATACTATAGCTTGGCGAAATACTTGATGGTTATTATTTACAGAGAGATGTGCATATTGCCCGGTATGCTAAATTCAATAGTTGATGTCAATACATTGCTTTCCATCTTGCAGGAGTCCAGAGTTGTGATTAAAGCTTTACTGAGAGACTAGATAATCATTATTATGTTCGCCATATATTGTCTGGACTGGTCCCCACAGAGTTTGCTGCTGGGAAGCACGAGTTTCATTTGGTGCACATGATCGCGTGTGACGCAGTTATCTTTTCTGAGCTGCAGTTTATAAACGCTGGGGCCCGTTGGTGTTTATCAAATGTAATAATTAGTTCCACTATAGTTTCATTTCACATTCACTTTTGTCAGCCACAAAGTCACACAACAGCCCTGGAAGTGGCTGGTGAGCAAGACACAGACAGACCAAGACACGCTCTGCTGAGCTCGGTTATCGAGACAGACAGACTACAGACAGATGCACATCATACGTTACTGTAATTTACCTGTTCCATGGCATTTTTTTTAATCTTTTTTTGTGACCAGAAGGATAGTTCCACTTCATGGAAATTATAAACAAACATTGACACCCACTTTGACTTGAGGGCTAGAGAGAGCCTTGCATAATTTGTGGGGCCCTATGCCACTTACATAGCAAGCCCATAGGGCCCCTCCCCTCACCTTTTTTCCCTGTGGAGCCACACTGATCTCATACATGACTTCCCTTATATCCAATTGACAGAAATCAGTCATAGCGACAGGAAACTTTAATCCCTGAGATCTTCATTTATGTTGATTTAAGGAAAAAAAAGGCTAAACCTCTGATGTAATGTACAGGCATAGACAGAAACAGAAAGTTAACTCCATCATTTCTTACCACACGGGAGAAGAGTCTGAGTGTCTCCAGGTCCTCCAGGATGTTGCTGTTCTTGGTGGTGATGAGGACCATGTAGAGTTTCTCAAGGGGCTGGTACACATAGCGAACACTGTCTGTTTCGACAAAGGTGTGCTGCTTCCCCGTGTTCATCAGTTTAGGAAATGCAGCCAGGAGACCCTCGATACGCGTCCGGGTCATTTCCACAAACTGCCGCGATACAATGGCCTTTCCGGCCTTGGTGCACACCGCCGCTGCCAACAGCACCTGCAGGTGAAAAGACATCGTGAATATTATTGTGCCTTCAATCCTTCAGTTATAACACATTCACAATTTGAGTATGCAACTGTTTCCAAAACTCAAAAGTAAATAATAGGTCAACAGGAGCTTAATTATGTACAATGAAATGTCATCATTCATCCACAACACACACATTAGTGTGTACAGGTGTATGTGTAAATTCGGCATACTCACCACTCACTCAGAACTACCTATTCCAATAGTATTGCAGCTTGTAAAGTTGTAAATTCTCCTACTATGGTTCGTTTTGTGTAATAAAGTCTGCAGGAATGGCTGATAATGGTTGACGTTTTACTGGAATACTTCCTGCAGCAGAGACAACATATATGCCGAATTTAACAGCGCTGAGGAGCGATCCAGCAGATGTCCCGTAGTTTTAATGTTGTCTTTGTGTCTGCCACGAAGTACAAGCAACTTTGAATTGACAAAATTTTGAACGGTGTTTGGTGAAACGTTCCCATCAGGGCAGACACAACGGCAGCGATCGTGGACAGGAACAATACGCTTCCATAGCAGTAAATTAACTTACACATAAGTGTTGATTTATCTTAATCCAAGTAAGTTCACTATTAATGATACTTTATTTCACGCTGGCCAATGAATGAAAGAGCTGCATTCATTCCACGTTGACAATGGCTGAAGCTGGAAATGAAAAGACCCCCGAGTGCAATGTATCTCAACTTGATATGGACAAGCAACAGCTGTGGTAACCGTTGATAATCTAGAAAACAAATTGTCCCACCTAGTTAACCATAGTGATAATACAAATGTACACATGCTTATGGTTAGTTTAAGCACCGGTATCCAGTCTTGTCTGGCTGAGGACAAGCTGACAGCAGGTAACGTTAGCTCAGATCCGGCTAGTGACAGGAGCTAACACTAGCGCTAGCTTGTAAAGCTAGTTAACGTCAGCAGTATCTGCACATTCAGTGCCGCCTATTCACGTAAAATTTGGCTCTTTATAATGAAACAACGGTTAATTTGTTTATTTTTAGCAAGTAAATATAACGTTGACGCTGTCTACATAACGGACAGAAACGTTTGTATTAGCTTATTTCGCTCCTGGAGAGGCTAGCTAACTGGTACCCAACTAGCTTTAGCTATTTGCCAGATTAGCCAATGTTATGATAATTGCAAGGCCCGATAAAAGGCAGGAAAATATCACGATTTTCGACTGTCACTCACCATTTTGGTCTCTCTCTATGGTACGACGATCTTCAGTGTCTCGTGTTTCCTGCTTAGGGGGGTTTCGAGTCACTCTGGAATAACAAGGTGCGAATGTGCAGCTGACTTCAAGTTGTATGATTGTTAGCTAGCTAGCGTCAATATGGCAGCAGTACAGAGCCACGTCTCCACCGGAAGAGCAGCGCCAGATCAGCCCACCGTGGAAACCAATGACGTGGGCCCCAAAATGTTGGCCTTGTTGCATAAATAAGTTACTACAGCTGCTTCCACGGGCGTTTCTTCCTCCTGTTTAGATTTCCCAGGTAGTGGCAACGACTTACGGGCTCCATTTACCTTTAATCTATGAACCGAATAAGCGATGGTGATACGAGATACTGAAATATTTTAAGATCTGCCACACTGATGTGTATATATCATTGTTGACAACGGCCATTATTTATAGAAATCATTAAAACTTTCAAACTTTTTTTTTTTTTTTTAAATAACATGTCACGTTTTAAAAAAACACAACATGTATGTGCCCTTAGATTACAGTGTTTTAAAGTTTTTAATTAATTTCTTCACGAATAATCTTATCACATGGGGTTACCTAATAAGTCTCTACTGTAGTTATGCTTTTTTTTAAAATATATATTATTATTATTAATGTTATTTTAAAATATACCATGGTGCAATTTTAAAATGGCTGCTCCTCCACTGACTGCAGCTTGGGTTGTACCTCAGTTTTACATCAATTTGAACCAAAGTCTCAGCCACATGAATAAATGTACATGTAAAATTTTTCATTTTTTATTTGGGATTTATTATATGCTGGGAATTGTGGGCTGCACTGCTACTGATAAAATGATAAACATGCAAAACAATAAATACACTGTGGATTTACATACAGCATATAAAACAATAATAAGCCTGAATGTGTTTTTCATGAAAAAGTATGTTACAATTATCACACAGCAAAAACTGTCACTGTGTGTTCAACAGTTATAATAAAATATATTTTTAAAAAATCAGAACTTCTAAGATCCACTCAGTTTCTGGACTATTGAGTATTTCATTGCTCTATAAACTACAAAGATCAACAAACTATTAGTTTTAACTAGTTATGTTATAACTGCTTTGTTCAACTGAAGCACGATATCAACTGACTTGAGGGCTCTAAGGTGGGTTCTGGTTTACTACCTGTGGGGCCCTGTCTTGAAGAGGGTCTGTGTGACAAAATGTAGTCTTCAGGCCTTTATTATCTGTGTTTTTATTATTCTAATTGACACACTATCATGGCTCACTGGAACACTTGAAAGGGGCAAAGCCATTGTTCATGTTTTTAGTAACACCAAAGGCCTACACTTTGGGGGCCTACCAATGAGCGACCCGTAGCTGGTTAATCTAACCATGGCTCTTATAATACTGAAAACTATAATAGCAAATTTTGACTTGTCTAAATTGATAGTGCCACATGTTGAGATATTACCTATAAATAAATAAAGTATCTATCATCTATCTATCTATCTATCCACTCCACTATAGAACTACAGAATTCATGGTGTTGCAGTAACTTATTTTGGTCACCAGGTGTCATCAGTTAAACTGTGTGTGGAAGATGTGGAGCCACACTGTCAGCTCTATTTATTCATTAAGAGGTGGAGGTGTCAACACAGTTCAATGGTCCTTTCCCTAATGTATTTAAGAAAGCCACAAATATGTGGGCCAGCTGTATTTAGTGTTACTCTCACTCACAGATTGCCTCCTTAATCCTCCCTTATGGCATTATATTCTCATTATCATACAGTTAGGTAGATGTGGCACTTGATATACAAGTTAAAATACCGGTAGTATTTACCATGGCCACATCATCAGGTCACAATAAAAAAAAGTCACACAAGTAAAGCTTTAAAATGTTCCTTTTGATTGTAAGTATATAACAGCAGTTCTGATTTTGAGTCAGTAAACTGTGTTCACATATAATGAGGATTTTTTGGGACTAACACAGAAAAATGCGAAACACACATTCGACCAATATTTTGATTTGACCGTGACTTCGTTATCCATGCACTTCGATCACACTCTCCGCAAGAGGAAACTGGTAGACGGAACAAGGAAATGACCTCTAACCAGTCCAATGACATCACGAGGTTCCGCATTGATTCATTCATATGGGAGCTGAGGGAGAGGACAGCTCTGACTGTTTCCAAGGATTTCATAATTTTTTAATGGATTTACTATCCAGGAAAACGCGCTGTTGATTCCAATAACATCGGCGGAGTAAAGCGGATCATCGATATGACGGAGGAGCAAAAATCTCCGGTAGGATTTCCTTCAATTGACCCGGTCGTTAGCACCATGCATGAAGCAGTCACTGCTCTTTCTGATGGGGACCGCCATTTCCGTATGTGCCGGCTTTTGGAGCGCGGTGATTGGCTAATGTTAACGTCTGTTTTGGTATTCGGCTTCCCATTGGACGGTGAAAAGTAGGCGGGGAGCTGTTGACAGATAGGAGCTAGTTTGTTAGCTTTGATTTTGTACTATTTTATTCAGGTTTGTAGATGACTTAACTGATATTTTAGCTAATGACGTCTTGAAAAATGTGGGTTTACTTTTGAAAAAGTGACGTCACATTGACATTCGGCTTAGAAATCAACCAGGAATACTTGCTATTTTAGCTCCTTTTACACCCTTTAATTCTACTTTTACCAACTTCGTGTAATGCTAGTAACGTGGGAAGCACCTTTTTATGTTGTCAATTTTAGCTAATTAAGTCCTATTTGCTCTATTTCACTGATGCTGAATGCAGGTGTGCACATCAGAGTTTCTGTAAAAACATTCAAATTTATGATTTAACCTGGTGCTTTGCTAGGTAACGTTAAAGTAGTAGATTTTTGAGTGTAGTTTATTGACAAGCAGAAGATAACAATTAAAAATGCAGCTTCAAACAGCTTTAGTGACAGGATGACTTCATGTCTGTGAAAATCCATGATAGCACATGAAGAAAATTAAAAAAAATTGAGTCATAAATAATAACATATTTTATAAATACAGAACATTGTGAAAAAAAATGTAAATTGTCAAATATTTTAATAAACTATTAAAACTAAACTCACAGTTATGAAATGTTATTTCAGTATTTTCAGTATCATGGTTTATATGGAGTCTTCTATTTCCCATTGCAAAATTTCCAAAGAGCTAGTATTTCCTATTGGTGTATTTCCCAGTGACACGCTTGTATTTCCTATGTAATATAATTTTTTATAATAATGTGATTTCCCCCCAATCCCTGCCTATTCAACCTTAAGCTAATCACATGCCTCCATCCTCTCTTACCAGGCTTAGCCAACTAAATAAAAGTGGCTAATGACATCTTTGATAAAACATTATCAGTTCTTCATAACCAGTTTTTAATATAAGAATAATTCACGTAGAGTGTACAGTTTTTTAAGACGATATCAGCACATAGTGTTAAAGATATATTACCTCATTTCATACACAGAGGAATATTTAGAATAGAAATTCAAATTACAAATATCAGCAATGAGAATTGTGATTTAAGTTTTCATTAATTCAGAGTATTGTTATTTTCTGATCAGTAGCAGCTCTGCTGTTGGCAGCTGACCATTCAGAAAATAAAGAGTGTCAGAAAAGAAAAGTCTCCACACACACTGTCTGTTGTATGACCACACCTTATACCCAGGACCCTCCTAAGCTGCCCCTCCCTGCCTTTTATAACGGACTCAATGAATTGGCACACTTATCTTTTGGAACCAGAGATATCTTGGGGTGGAGGTCCTGAAGGAGTGGGGGTGGTGTCCGGTAAAAAAGACCACTGTTCAGTATCTAGAGGCTATATGACCTCAGCACAGCTCCTTACCAGCACACAGCAGGCAGTCCCAGCCACACAGCGGACACAATAGCCTCTACAGTGCAGACACTAGTGTGGACTCAGAATTATGGAGGATGGACCTTACAAGTACATCAGGGTGAGGCGGGCAGAGAAAATGCTGGATGTGGTTGTAAATGAGCAGCGGTAACTCAGCTGGAGGCTCTGCAGAAAGTGAGTTTATTAACTTCTCTTTTTACCTCTGCAGGATGGGAACGGCAAGGTTAGTCGGGTCATCCGGATCGGAACCCGCAAAAGCCAGGTAAAGTCCTGTATTCATTCATTTCTGAGCTTTAATTCAATTATGTTCATTAACTTTATAAGCATTCAGAGCAGATGACCTTCGGATCATTTATATTTTTGGCTTTGATTTTGGTTTTAACTATAATTTCAATGTGAAGATAACTCACGCAGAGTCTCAATGTGTCAGTTAATTGTGAGTTATCTAAAGCACCGTTCCTCCACGCTGGTTTAGATACAGCAGAGAAAGACGTCTGCAGCTCTTCTGCAGAGATAAGATGGCTCTGACTCAACAATGTCTCCTTAAGATAACTGCTCCTCACTGATTTGATTGTCACTGACTCTGTGGATGAGTGTTTAACACTCTTTTTACAAGTATGAATACGATCCAGCTAAAGTCAGTTGCTGCTGTGCTCTTCTGTCCCAGCTGGCGTGCATCCAGACGGACAGTGTGGCGGAGAAGCTGAAACAACTGTACCCTGACCTCCACTTGGAAATAAGTGAGAATTGTCCCAAACTTTCAGTTTTTGTGAAGATATCGTAACAGAAAATGTACTGTTCATTTGTAGCTGTGTCACAAATTTCTTAGCGTCACAGAGGCATTTTTGCTTTGACGATTTGATTAATTATAAACTCTATAAATGTAAAAAAAAAAAATGCTGTAAAATCATTTTTATGGCATTTACACAGTTTTTTTGTCTTGAACACACACTAATCAAAAACCAGTTATGGTCTTGCAGACACTACTTTACAAAAGCAATGACTTAATGATCCACTGAAACGTAGTGCAGATGTGTGGCTCCATTTCTGACTTGTTCTTGGTGTTTTCGCTGTTGTTTGTGCTTTTATTGAACCTCTCTATCTTCTGTCTTTCAGTTGGCATGACAACGACAGGAGACAAAATCCTTGACACAGCTTTATCAAAGGTGAAGCTTGTTTAAATGAGTATTCAAAATTACTATATATATTACGGGACAAATTTTAGTTTTACTTTAGTTTTATTTTGAAGGCCACTCAAACCTGGTTGAAAAGTGAATCAAACTATTAATCAGTTATTATACTATTAATTAACTATACTATTAATCAGTCAAAACATTTGCCAGTTCATTCTCTGTTAATGGACACAAAGCAGAGACTTCATTATAACAGACCAACATCAGCAATAGAAAGAAAATTCATTACAGAATAATTTCTGATTTGATACCTGATATATGGGCTTCATATGGTGCATTTATCCTGCTTGGAAATGTCTTATTTTATCTGCAACAGATCGATTTAAAGAAGAATTGTACCAGAATGTAACTGTTTGTTTTTTTTGTTTTTTTTTAATGCAGATTGGAGAGAAGAGTTTGTTCACCAAAGAGCTGGAGAACGCTCTGGAGAGGAACGAGTGAGTGTGACCGGTGTCATCTGTGGCTGACACCACCCTGTCTCCACTGCATTGTTTCATCAGCAGACACCGACTGTTGGCGTTTAACTCTTTAACTAAGACTGATACTTCTGTGCTGTAGCTGCACATCACAGTTCATTTGTGAATTTATTCTACAGTTAAAATGACAAAAAGCAGCATGAATAACACTGACTGCATGACTTAGACTATAATAAAATACTGATATCAGCCAAGTCGGCATCATTCAACTGGCCATTTATCCCATATATAACACCATCAGACTGAATCCATGCAGAGGGGAACCCTTTGATTTCTGCTGCAGCCTCAGATGTTGCAGGTGTCTCTGTTCTGTCGCTGCCTTGAAGATGTAACATAAGGTTCACCACTGAATGGCTGTATTGTACCATGAAACATAAAAGGAGCATGTAAACATGACTGTGCTCCTCTGTGTCCTGCAGGGTCGATCTGGTCGTTCACTCGCTGAAAGATCTTCCCACCACTCTGCCTCCAGGATTCACTATAGGAGCTGTGCTGAAGTAAGTGCGCTCACACGAGTCAGGGCGTCAGGGCGTCAGGGTGTCAGGGCGTCAGGGTGTCAGGGTGTCAGGCCGTCAGGCTGTGTTTTAAAGTCACTTTTCCAGCCTATGACCTGAGAATTAGTAGAATTAGTTCCATTAATTCTATTTTTAACAGTTTCAAGATGGAGGATGTTGCAAAACAGAAGCAGCTGACATTGCCACAGGCTGACACGGCACCATTTTGACAAACAGTTTTAGCTCCTAGGCTAATTTCCTTTTAAAGTCCAACAGAAATCTGGATTCTCCTCAATTTTTTGAAAGAAAACTATAATGTCAATACAGCTAATGAGCTAAATTTCCATTTTTCAAAAAGGATAGAACCATTTTTGGACATATTTGAGGTAAAAGTGTCTCTTGGTGGGGGTTTCCATGGCAGTGGAACTGACATCTGAAGGTGTTGCCGGGAGACATGCTGTTAAATAACCTGATGCGCCACTGACTGGAGAAGATCACAGCCCTGTTTAGCCTGGAAACACAATTAGTAAGCTGCTCTAACAAGCTATTACGTTCCTGAGTGGGAGCTGTGGTCGTGTCTCTCTTTAATGCGTCCAGTTGTGTTGCAGTCTTATCTCAAGGGCACCACAGTGGTGTTGATGAAGGTTGGAGAAATGCTGCTGTTTCACTTTTCTCACCCAGATTTAATCCTGCCAGTCCAGGGATTCGAACCGGCGACCTTTGAAACTTGTTCCCCAAACCTTCAGGCCGCCACTGCCTCAAACTAAAGACATGAAGTGATATAACAGTTGTTTTAGTCAGCAGTTAGTGGCAGCCAGGAAATGCAGGGAAAACAAAGACTGCCAGCAAGTAAACAATGTTGTAAACTATTAGATTAAATTAAATCATATTTAAAAAATATTTTAAAAATCTAATGAATAAAATTTAAGGGAGGAGACGGATCCATTTATAAGAAAACTAATTTCTTCATTTAGTTGTCTCTATTTTAAATAGAGTTTTCAACCATTTTGTTTTCAGAAATGTATTTACATCAGTGGGAAGGCGAGGCGTTCAGGGGACAGGAAACAGAGGAAGACAAAGTCCCAGCCTGATTGAGAACATATTGTCAAACCATATCATGAGGCCTTTATTGTTTATTACAGCCGCTGTCGCTGAAGCGCAGTGGAGGAGATAGTGAGGCTGTGTTTGGGACATAAGCTCTTCCTTTGTTGGAACAGTTCCTATTGGTCCATATTGGCACTCAGTGCGAGTCAAATGTTGCTCATTGTCCATTCTGCAGATCGCTGTAGTATTTGTTGTGTAATCTCACTGACCAGCTGTAACCACTCACTGTCCTTTTTAGGAGAGAAAACCCCCACGATGCCGTGGTCCTACATCCAAAAAACACAGGGAAAACTCTGGACACTCTGCCGGAGAACAGGTACGGTGCAGTGGATCATCTGACTGGTTGTGTTTGTCTTCAGTCACATCACACCTGACTTCACACTGTGTGTTTTGTGCAGCGTGATCGGCACCAGCTCGCTGCGCCGCGCTGCTCAGCTGAAGAAGAGATTCCCACACCTGGAGTTCAAGGATATTGTATCCTTTCAGCTCTGTGAACATGATAATATCTGATAATAAGACGGGGGTTATTTTGTTCCTCATGAGGGTGGTGGGGGGTGGAGGAGGTTGTCGAGCCAGAGAGGATATTTGTTTCTGTCCTTAACTGTCGTCTGCAGCGTGGGAACCTGAACACTCGTCTGAAGAAGCTGGATGAGAAGGCGGACTACGCCGCCATCATCCTGGCTGCTGCCGGCCTCAGGAGAATGGGCTGGGAGAACCGGATCAGCCAGGTACAGTTCTGCTCATATCAAGTCCTCTGTGTGAAGTCCAAGTCTCTCTGAGGGACACGGAGTCAAACTGTCTCATCTTGTTTTTCCATCGGTAGATCCTGGAGCCTGAAGACTGCATGTACGCTGTTGGACAGGTCAGAACAGTGAGATGCAACATATGACTCATGCATAGAAGAAGAGGATAATTGATAATCAATTATGATAATAATAACACCTGACATTCATACGTGTGTGTTTTTCATCAGGGGGCTCTGGCAGTGGAGGTTCGGGCCAGAGATGCAGACATCCTGGAGATGGTGTCCGTCCTCCATGACTCTGAAACCGTGCTGCGCTGCATAGCTGAGAGAGCCTTCCTCAGACAACTGGTACACACACACGTACACACACACACACACACACACACACACACACACACACACACACACTCTAACTAACTAACTAACTAATTTCCCTAGTGTATTGAACTGAACATCTCGTCTGTTGCAGGAGGGTGGGTGCAGCGTTCCTGTGGCTGTCCACACTGAAGTGAAAGACACCCAGGTAAGAATGCCAGGTAGAGACAAGTGTGTTTTTACCTTAACCAATCAGTAGTGAGTGACATATCTGACCAATGACATCATTTTCAGTCAGAACGTCACTGATTTCACTCATCAAAGTCTGTTTATGTGTTGGGGAGAACTACTACTACTGAAGCTGTGTAAAGTCTTTTCACGGCTCCAGAGGGAAGTCTGATAAATGTCCTCAGGTGATGTCACTTGTGAGAGCTGAATGGGCTCATGAGAGTTTGTTGTTGTGTTTTCTCAGCTCTACCTGACGGGCGCCGTGTACAGCCTGGACGGATCCGACAGCCTGAAGGAGACCATGCAGACCAGCATTGCTGCTGATGACAAGGTACAAAGAGGCTGAACGGAACAAGTAATGAGTGTGACGTCGTCTTGTTTTCCGTCATGATTGATGAAGCGTTTCTGTGTGTCAGAGCTTAGAGCAGGTGGACGAGCCTGTCCAGAGAGTGGGAGTCACAGCCAGCAAGATCTCGGGTGAAGCCCAGGACAGAGCTGAGCGGCTGGGGGTCGACCTGGCCAACTTACTGCTGAGCAAAGGAGCCAAGGAGATCCTGACGGTGGCCAGGCAGCTCAACGACGCCAGATAATCCTGCTCTGCCGGGGGGGGCGGGGGGCGGGGCTACAGAGGTCTTGGCCTTGCGTCAAGTAAAAACTTGCCTTTTTTTTTTCATGTTATATTACACATTTGGTGAGCTCAGTCAACAGCACAGAGGTGGTTGAGGATTTCAAACGCTTCTTGGACCAATGTTGTGCTCAGTCTGGTTCAACGCTGCTCAGCTGACCGTCATTATCAGCTGCTTCAGAATCACTGCAGCTCTCCTGGTCCTGGTTCCCGCCTGCTCTTACCTCATGGAACCAGCTCCTGAGCTGTGTAGAAACAGCCTTACTGGGATTATCAGTGGGAAACACAAAATGGCCTTTAAACGCTGTCGTCAGCACTTAGAGCGCCGTCGCTGGCTGATATCCTCATGGTGAAACCCTTTTTGTTTTTGTTTTTTTTAAAGCGCATCTGTGTCTCAGTAAATGGTATGCCACTAAAATTCAGCATTCTCAAATATTTTTTCCTCAAGGATGTTTCATCAGTGTCCAATAATTGTTTAGCAGATAAAAAAAAAAAAAGGAGAAGTTGAAGCAGAATTCCTCTTGTAGCTTTTAGCTGCTTTCTCTTTTGGAAAGCTGAGTTTTGATGGTACCAAAGACGAGTTTCCAAGTGCGCTGCCGCCGCAGTGAAGTGGAGCTTATTAAGATGTGAAAGTTGACAAATGTAAATATAAATGTAAATTCATTCATCAGCTCTAAACTCACAAATCACAACTTTATCCTTTGGTTTGTTGGTTTTATTATGTTGGCGTATTTTCTGCAGAATCTTTATTAAGCTCATGTTGAATGTCACATTTTCAGCTGATGTTTAAGAGTGTACCAGCTACCTCTTCTACAGAGACGGAGAGTTTATTTAATATGCACGATCACAAGCTGTAGGGAGCGTTTGTTTTACTCCACCTGTGGAGCAGCTTTGTACTGAGAGTTTCACTAAACGACTGGAGAACACTTGTTTAACACTGGAGCTATCGACCCGCGGCGTCTGCTGTTCAGCTTTCTGCTCTGATTTTTAAAAAAGTGCACTGGGCAGTTTGTTCTGTTGATGCTTTGCTGATGTGTCCTGCAGCACCACGCTGGGCATCAACCGTCAGCTGATGAGTTTTAAATAAAGTGTAAATGCTACAGTTGTGGTTATACAGTCGTGTGATGGACTTTTTAAAAAGGTGAAGAAGAGGCTTTCATGTTCAAATTGCTGCTGATTTTGCGACTCAGAAAGCAGCAGAACAAACCCTATCTAACTGAAAATAATACAGATAATTACTTTAAACCATAACAGTATTTTACAGCTGTATTGCCACACTCTGTACACTGATTTACATCTTGAGTAAATGGCCGTTATAGACTCATTCATGCTGATGGCACTATGTTGTGCTGTAATCACGTTAAATTCACCAAACACAAATTAGAAGCCTTCTCTCATAATTATGGCTCCTGTAATTTTGACTTAGAATCTCATGCTGATAATTAATAATCATAAAACTCAAATATTGAACCTGTATCTTCATAACTACAAGATCTTTGGTGAATGCACTGTTCAAGATTTTAGCAGGTTCTCTCTATAATTAGTGGAAGAAAAACAAATGAAAACCATTTGCTGTAATGTAAAGATGCTGTACTCCACATATCACAACTTAAGTGTTTCCAAAAGCAATAGATTTTCAAACTTGTTGACCTTTATAATAAGTTGCCTAATGAATTAAACGTATGTCTGAAATGCCATTTGTCTTTCTATAGTTTCTATCAAAGTGCCACCTCAGTACATGTGAACTGTGTCTGCCTTAAATAAAACTGTCTGTTCTTTGGAAATCACAGTGTATCATCAGTAAACCCACTGTACAGCCAGTGTGTTTTTATTTTATAGCTCTTTATTGTGTATTATACTTAATTTAAACCTCTTAAACCTCCTGAGACAATGTGAGGTAACATTTGCCATATTTGTATTTCAGCTTTAATTTCTGTATGAGTTAACATAGTGTTTCTCTATTTAGATTCTTTGTTACAGAACCTGTGAAGGTCAGGTCAAATTACAAACTCCGATGTCATGGAACAAATGTCAATAAACGTATGTGTGTTGTACCTGTTGAGTCTTTGAGTCTTTATTGATCAGAAATCAGATGAGACCAAAATACAGTGCTGAGGCGGCAGAAAGACTACGGTCACTCAGATAACCACTCTTCACAACTGTGGTGAGCAGAGAAGCTTCTCAGCCTTGAGATGCCTCGACCTAAATTACTCTTTTATATGAGCAAAATGTTGACGAAAATAATGCACAAAATATTATTTTATTATTTGCTGAAGTGGTGCAACAGCTGGCCAGTTGCTGAACAGACGTATTAAGATGGTACAAGTCCCTGTTTTCATCTACGACTTCCTGAGCGGTAGCATTGGTCTAAATTGCCAAGACTTTCTGCGGCTTGTCATATCAACCTCATCCAGTCAAACTGCAGCCTTCCATACCGAGTCTTCCCACAGGGATCCAAAGTAAAGAAGCTGTGTTGGGAGGCCATTGGGATCACATGATGGAAGTGAGAGGAGGAGGAGGAGGAGGAGGAGGAGGAGGCCAGCTCCTGAGTGTCTTTCATCTGAATGCTCTGCACCACCCTCTGAGGTGCTGCTCCCTGACCAAGCTGGACTGAAGTCAGTTGTCTGGCATTGGAGGGCTTCCCTAGAGGCTTTGTTGTTGCGCGCTTGTGGCCTCCTTGGTCTTCGATAGAGGTGACGCCTTGTGCAAATCGTGCAGGGTCAGGACAGAGTGGGCGGCTGGGACTAGTTTGAATAGTGGACGACTTCGTCCCAAATGCTGAAGAGCTACTCAGGCCACCGTTCAGACTCCGCCCCCTACTTTGTGTAGCTCTAGAAGCAGGAAAGCACTGAGCAGGGCTGGAGAGTTTTCCACAGCGTGACAATTTCAACTTCTTATAGAACTCCAGGACTTTTCTATCAAGGGTCACCGGCTCTTGGTCGCTGATGTTTCTGTACTTGTCTGAGGACAGGAGGAACCTTTTATCTCTGATTGGTTCAGGGGGGCTGGGGTCTGGTTGGGGTTGAGGATCCTCTGGGATTGAAGGGGCAGACTTCTGGGGATGAGAAGTCCAGTTCTGGGGCTCTGTGGTTGGGAGACACCTTGTAAAACTGGGTTCTGCAGCTGTGGGGAGATACATACAAACAGGAGTTCATGACTCAAACACCACAAGATCTGGACCAAGAGAAAACTCCAAATTACGAGAAAATAACTCACTTAAACTTACTAGTGAAGGACGACTGACGGTGACCTTGCTTTGGGATGAAAGGATCTGCTGACACCACAGGAGGCTTTGGCCGCCCTAAAGAAAAGGAAAAGTAAATGTTACAAAATGAAAAAGGGGGAAAACGCATTTTCTCAACCGCCACAGTTCAGCATCATTTGCTCGTACCTTGAGGAATGAAACTGGGTGTTCTCTGTGTATTTGATGGATATTGCAGTGGAGGTGTGACGGCTTCAGGAAGCTTCATGTCTTCCCTCAGGTCTCTCAAAGGTGCAGGTGTTTGTTCATGAGAGGAGGTTGGTCTTAAAAAAACAACAACACAAATTCAGTCATTCATGGGGATTTGTGAAACCTGCATGAGAAGGTTTGAATAATTGCAACTGCTCATTAGTTTTAGTACTTACAGGAAGTTCACAGTCCTTGTCGAACCAGCTTCTTGCCTTTGAGGCTTCACTTTTCCGTTGTCGTGGTTAAGATGAGTCTTTGTCTGGAAGTCGTGGGATGGTGTCAGGATGTGTCTTCTATCCGTCTCGTCCTTCTTCTCATCAGCCACTTCCTTTCCCTCCACTTCTGTTTGTTTCTTTCTTACCGTCTCTGTCTTTTTATCCTCTCTTCCCTTCACATCTCTTTTATCATCCTCTTCCTTGTCTTTCTTCCTCCTTTTCACATCGAACGTAATTTCTTCCTCTTCATCCTCGTCATCTTCAAAGAACCAGAAGACCCTGGAGCTCACATCCTCATCATCCTCTGTGTCCTGATGAAGACTGTATAAGATGATGTCATCCCAGCAGTCTGTTTGGCCGAGTCCCCGCCCCTTCCTCCTCAAGCTCCGGATCACAGAGTTGGGGACGTAGCCGTCTGGAGCTATGGGCCATGTCAGAGGCTCCGTGGTCACATCCACAGTTTGAGACATGATGTGATGTTTGGTCCTCTACATCAGCTTGTACCGGTTTTACCCAACATACAGCTGTAACCACACACACAAAAAAATCTGCAACTTTTCTGCCACACATACCCGTCAGCAGTTAAAGCTACTAACATTTGCATTCATTTCTAACTCACCTGGGTGACCTTCATGTGTGCTGTACTGGCCTCAGCAAGAACTTCCTGCAGGTTGTTATTACCTGCAGTCATCTTGCTTTTCAGGAGATGCCTCCCTTAGTTCTGCTGTGACTTTCCATAGTTTATTTTAAATTTAAACATTTAAATTTGAATTTTAGGGACCAATTCATAAAACGGAACTCACAACACGTTTACTATTCCAATGACAGTTCTGGGTTCTCTCCGAATACTCCGGCTTCCTCCTGCAGTGCAAAGACATGCATGGTGAATTTAATGCCTATGACGTTTTTTGACATTTTAACGGCTTAATATACTATGATGTTTTTGTGCCTTAATATACTATGACCAAGTGGCAAACTGCCGTGACGTCACCAAATGGTTTGTGAACTGCTGTTTTGAAGCCTCGAGTTTGGCTTAATGGACGTCGCCATCTTGGTTTTTTGGAGCCAGAAGAAACCATATTTGGATGAGAGGGTGGAGCTGGGGAGGAGTGAGGGGTGGATCTGACCTGTGTCCCCAAGGACACCAAGTACGCCCACCCGCATCAGCAACCTGACAGTAACAGGCTCCTGGCTGTAAGAAGTTCTCACTTTATGACATTGAAGTATTCTGCAATCTTATAAATTGTTAAATTCATTCATAAATGGACAATGCAATCAAGCTGGCTGGTAATGCTAGCGCTAATGAAAATGGGGGGAACCTCTACATACTGTACGTGCACACATACATTGCCGCCATTATAGTGATTATCATTTATTGCAGTTATTGTATATCATTTGTTAACAATTGTTATCAATATCATCATTGTTTTTTACGATTATTGTCTGTCCCTCTAAAAGCCTTTTGAAGCTGCGACAACTGGCCAAAATAACCTCACACTGATGGTTTCAAACACAAATTTGTCCCCACAACCACAGAGAGACATGTATACACACATGTACATGCCCTAACAGAAGCTGATCTGCAATAAAGCTGTACCACTACATCTTGACATGATGTCACTGGACTTGACATCATCATATATATATATATATGTATATATGTGTGTGTGTGTGTGTGTGTTGAAGTATGATGCAGCAGTAGAGATCCAAAGAGGGCTGGGTTTGGTCATTTTGAAGACATCTCCCCATTCACTCTCTATGGGATTTTTTTCACCTTTTAATCAGCATTTACGTCACCATGGTTACTCAAATCTCTAAGAAAAGTCACAGCACACCATTCCTGATCGAGCCACACGTACCGATATATTGTTTTCTCAACTGATGCCCATCCATCCACTGCACCACAGCACATGATGTAAGCTGCAAGAATAAAAGCACAAATTACAAATGAATCCTCACATTGTGCCCAATGGAAACTATTTACAACACTTTTACCACAACACTTAATGATTCACTTACCGTCTTTGTCATCTTTGAATATATATACTTTTCGGCCGTAGTCACTGTCCACGACCTCGTCAGCAGCAAACAGCAGACAGACACGGTCCGAGAGCAGCTGCTGAACATAGTGGAGCATTAAGAAGCTAAAGAGACAGATTTCCCTCAGGAGCTGGTGGAGACCAAACACAGAGCTAAAAGACAGGGAACACTGGACTGAGATCATCATGAGACATCAGCTGACACAAACACCACTCCAAATGCAACAAATGAAATATAATAATTATAAATAATGTCAATTAAAAATTATACATGAAGATAGAAAACGTTGTCCCCTTGTCTTCTCTTCATCTCTTCCCTCCACAGTCTTTCCACCAACAGTCACACAGTGTGACACACCTGCAATGTGAGTGAGGTCAGTGTCAATCCTTCTGGGTTGGACACACAGATGTATGAGCAGCCGGAGGAGGTTTTTCCTCCGGGCAGCGGCCCCCGCTCTGCCACAGCAGCTTCGGGCCGCCTTCCTCTTCCTGTAGGCTCTGGTCCTGGGTACAGGTAGTCCAGGCAGAGGAGGTGGCTGAACAGAGGAGGGGAGTGGTGCTGGAGCGAAGGGGGGGACCAACAGCCCTGGATGAGGGGCCGTGCTGTTCATCGTCTGGAGGAGGAGGCAGACCCCTGCTGGAGGGCCCAGGCTGCTCATTAATTATAAATATTAAAGTCACATATAGAAGCCAATTGGGAACTTAGATTAAGATGATCATGTAAATTTGAAAATTAAAATGTAATATCATGATAGCAATGTAATTTTTCACACATGTATGTGTTCTAGGATTACACTGGACTTTTACTTTATGAATATGAGCAAAGCAGGAGAAGCAGTCAGCAGGTTCCACTGATAACTTGTTCCACTCTCCTATAGTGGCCAGAATAATGCAGGTACATAAACACAAACAGACATGTGATTATATTATTATTATTTATTAAAGGTTTTACTTGAATCACAGAGAACACATCAGTCTTAAAGCTGCAAATGAAAGGAAAAATCATCAGGGGACTTTAGTTTTATTTTACATTATATCAAATATAGTTTAATATAATATAGTGAGACTTTTCATCATAAAAATTAAAAATAAAAGTTCTACAATCATCCCTGTAGGTTAGAGGAAAACTTAAAACATTTTGTACGTTGTATTTCATATATTGTTGAATTTTTTGTTTCTGTAATAACAGGGACAGCATGTTATTCCAGATTGTTTCCTGCAGCACAAGGGGAGATGTATTCAGTCTCAGCCTGGTCACCTGAGAGGAGAAAAGAAAAGGAGAATTAGACGAAGAGAGACTGAACAAACCAAACAGTGAACGTTTGTGGTTGTTGTGAAAACTAACAGCTGCTTTCTTCACGAGTTTTGACAAATTCACACTGTTTCTGAGGCTTTAAATGAATATAATGAACTTTGATTTCCATGTGGTGTAGGAACCAGGATGATAAAACACTGTATTTTTCTTTTCATGACAAACTCATGGAAGCCCTGAAAGAGATGAACACCTTTTTCTGACAGGATCATTTTTTCAAAAGTTTTTTTTTGGCCTTTCAGGGCTTCTGTACAAACTGCAGTCTATGTTCATTGAATTTTAAAGCTGTTGTTTATCCAGGGTACATTTCAAACTAAATGTTTGGTTTGTAGGATTTTAAAGTCTGGTTTTATGGTGTGTGTCTGAGTATCAGTTTTACTTGGCTGGTAGTAGTCATAGATCTTGACCACGGCTGGCTTCAGGTTCTGCACTGGGAGCTCCTGAATGAGCTCTAAGCTGTGGATGATGGCTGTGCGCTTTGGTAACTGTTGGAAGAAAAACAGACGACCCGATCAGTAACAAATCTGGAGAGCACCATCTGTTGATCCTCACTGTGAATTCCTCTCTCTCCCTGAATGTAGGCCATAATGCGGTCTTGCTTTTGTTCGACACGGTCCCCCAGCAGAGCACCTTGGAGCTGTGAGGAGACGATACTCAGCTTCATCAAAACATGAAAACTCATCAGTTTCTACTGAGCTCAAAGTTTCTCTGATAACTCACGCGTTTCAGAGACTCTGGGTCTGGGACAAAGCCAGAAAGCATTTTGATATCCAGGATCACCATGTTGGGAGTGGTCTCCTTTCCACTATATCTGCAACAGAACCATAACAGCGTGAGTCCTTCACACCTTACACAGTTGTATTAGACGTATCAGTAGAGACAGGTATTTAGCACTGGCAGCTACAGAGGATCACTTGCAGTATTCCTCTCTAACTGAAGGTGGACCTGCTGGTTGGTTACTCACCTGGAGGTGACTTCCAGAGTGAATCTGGGCTTGAGAGATGTGCTGATGCAGCTGGTTGGTTTTACTCTGACGGTGAGAGTGGTGCCGTCAGTAGGAGTTGGGATGTTGTAGTGAAGAGAAACCTGGGGAACGGTTCGTCATATTAAAGGTGAACGAGAAAAAGAATCTGAAGAATTTGTTTTCACGTGTTGGTGACTGTTGCTGTTTGAAAGGGACAAACTTACACAACGAGGGGATTTGGCTCGAGTACCACCAGTTGGACGGAATATTTTAGTATGGAATATTTTTTTAATTAATTTTAGACATCTACATCAAAGTCCGTCCCACTCCATGTCCTACATGTCATTACACCCATTACATTGTTAAATAAACCTAATGATGGCACTTCACAGAGAGGGGTCTGCAGACAGAAGAGGAGGGGTCACTACACTTCAGGCTGTCACTTATTTTGCAGTTTATTTGCTCACACAGTTGCCAGTCCAGGCGGCTTTGATGAATATACTCTATGTCCCAATGACGTCACCAGATGGCAGCACTGGTGTTCGGCATTGACTTGTAGCAGGGACATTAGTGCATGTAAAGGTACTCACAGTCAGACTTGGCTTTATGTCGACATGACACGGACCAGAAGTTGACTGAAGCTGCATGAGTTGAATTAAACTAAAATATCGTTGAACTATTTGGCAATGAAAAGATCGGTCCCTCTGATGTCGGGCATCGATGTATCTGGACCTAATTATATGTCCACTGACCTGCATTGAAGCACATGCAGTGCCCTTCACCTCCAGGCTGTACTTTCCCGTCACGTCGGGCAGCGTCTTCTCCTGGTAGAGCAGCTTGTTGTTTTGGTTCACATCAATTGTCAGCTGGCCGCTGGCGGACTGGACGGTCACTGTGCTCGAACCCTCTGGACTGAACGTCAGAGTGGAGTACAGAGCCAGAGCCTGAAGAGCCACCACCGTGTCCTACAACACACACACACATGTAATGACACATTACAAGAGGAGTAATATAATAAACATCATTGCTGTGACGTAATGACAACCATACAAATATATTTCACTCTCACTTATAAACATACAGCAACTCAGCCATGTTTCATGTGTCTCTAAATGTAGATTTATCTCTGGGCACCAAAGGCTTCTTCATGCTTTAAGCAAAGTGGCTGTTGGATCATTTATCTGAAGCCACATTTACAAAGTCAGAATCTGTCTATCAGTCACCCATTTCACCCAGTAATTAGCCGGGGGTGTGACGATGTAGAAACTATTTTTCATTCTTTTCTCAACTACTTTCCTCACTCTTTGTGCACAGCTGAGTGCAACAGCATCAATGTCGTTGGTGAGAGACTGTCCCATCATGTTGAGGCAACAAAAAGATGCAAAGACAGAGATGGACACTTACGAGCTTCTTTACATTTGATGCCTGTTCAACACAAGACAAAAAGAGCAGCAACGTAACGGCCTGTTTTGTTCACTCGCTCTTGGCGGCTCACGGCAGGTTACGTTCAGCGTGTTCTTTTTTATATCTACTTTAGATACAGATGCCAACCAGGGCCGTTACAGTTCATAGTCGACACATTAACGAGTGTGGCAAGTCAGAGAAGAACTTCAAAACTAGAAAGTAATATTAAATGTGATTTGTAGTAAATGGGTAATAACACTGTTGTGGTTCTGAATGTGTGGTGATCAGTGAATTTAAACAGGTGTGGTATGAGGTAAACAGAGGGTTATGTTATTAGTTTATAGATTCACAGTAAGGACACGAGACACCAGTGAAGCCACAGACATTAACACTGTATGTTTACATTGATGTCCTGTACCTGTGTGGAGGAGAAGCCTCCATAATGGTTCTGCTGGCCTGTCAACCACCTGACGATGCTAGAGGTGTAGCCCAGGTCTTCAGGAGTGGGGGAGGCGCTGAGTTTAGCCAGCATAACGTAGGAGCTGATCTCCACAGACAGAGAGGCTGAAGTATCTGTTGCTGTCTGGGACCAGTGGAGGAGACTCCCTAAAAACAGCCATCACAAACAAACAGGCATGAGATGAGCTGCGTTCACAGTAACTGAATCCAGAATGACTTCCTGTAGGAGGACGGCTCACCTTGTTTCACTGCGACGGTGTCTAGGTGCTGCAGAAGGTGATCACGTGTCTCTGTGTCTCCTGCCAGGGTGAAGACGTACGCCAGCAGAGCTGTAGTGTAGGTGTTGCTGAGGTCACCGATGGACTCCTTGAGGCAGGACAGGCTCTTCTTCACCACATCGTCCTGTTACAGATTGAAATCATCCCTCGTTATAATCTCAGGATTCTTCTGACAGCAGATTCTATTTGATCATATCAGTGATCAGAGAACAAATTTCGACACTATCTGGATGTAATAGCTTCCTTACGTTTACTATTATTAGTCTGTTGTGTGTCTCTCACATTATAGACTTCATACCAATGAGCAGAAAGTGTCTGTCATTTACTGTGATGGACCTGACTGGGACGTTAATGTTAATAAATCCAGATGGGTTCATCACTTTTTAGCGTCCCCTGGAAACCCTTCTGTTGTGTTGTGGTGAAGATGTTTTTTAATTTCTTTTCTTATTTGTCTATTTACATGAGTTTTCCTAAGGTGCATTATCAAGCTGTAATGTAAAGTGCTACCAATATGTTTACTTTGTGTTTTGCTGCTACTATTTATGCCCAACGTTACACTGTATAGGTACGCAACTCACCGAGCAGAAGGCAGCTCACCACAAGCAACTTACACAAGCTCTTACTAATCAGGAGGACAAGGAGAGGCTGCGTGTACACACAGTGAGCAGAGGGTGACATCACACCCACAGGTGAGATTGATTATGTGTCACAGGTCAAATCAAATAGTTACAGGTTCAATGGAAAGAGTCACCTCAACATCAACGGACATTTCCAAGAGGGCAGCAGTGATGTAAGCACTGAGAGTCACTTCATCAGACACACCACCCTGTAGAGAGGAAGCACCAATCAGACTTCGTCATCATCACCGTACCTCTGGCGTTAGTTATTACTGAGCTGTGAATGAATTGGCATTTAACTGAAGCTGCAGCAAGATGTCACTGAGTGAAAGTAAATATTTCTACCTGTATGTTCACTTCTTCAGCTTCATAGTGACTGTACAGGTGCTGTCAGCTTACCTTCATTCTGTTGTTGAAGAGTTTTCCTGACTTCTGGAAACAGCCGCTGCCTTGTTGTTTACTCAGCAGCCAAGTCTTTGACTGTTGGATCTTTGCCGGGTCAATGTAGATGAAAGACTGAGCTTTGCCAAAACATCTCATCACAAAAGCAGTCAGCCTGAGGACATCAAAACAAGGTTAGACAATAACTGACACAAGCAGAGGCACCTTTTGTAATGCCCCAGTGATACTTTAATGTCTTCACATTAGTGGTATTACTGTATTTGCCTTTGGCGTATGAACTGCTTTAAAGTTGAACACTGTATTTCCCTGCAACACTGGATGGATATTGTACATTATCAGGTCATATTGTCCTTTAATTGTACACTATACCACAAAGTAATTGTATCTACAGAAGTTTCAGTGTTGTAGATTTAGCTTTGAGTCTTCTTTGTCCCTACAAACTTTGCACCATTGGCTGCATCCATCGTTCCCTCGCTTCAGACTGTCCCTGCCACTGAGAAGCCCCCCTCCCCCCAATATTATCATGCTGCCACCACAATGCTTCATTTTTCAATTTCAGTTTTTGATTTTTAATAAATTTGCGAAAATTCCTTTTCCTTTATTTTGTCATTATGTATTATTGAAGGGAATTAAATCAACGTAATTTAATCTTTGACATAATTAAATAAGTAACATAATAAATGTTCTCACCAAGTGTTTCTTGTTCCTCTCCCAAATGTGCTGTAAGCACCATCGTTGTGTTTGTAGTTCAGCTGTCTCTGGTAGCCTGTGTAACAACAACAACATGTAATTCCAGCTGTGATCCTCAAACATTTTCAGATTTGATACAGTGTTTGATATTAAGGTAATAATTTGATTGTATTTTTAGATAAATTAGAAAAGCACTAATTTGTGTTTATGCATTTATATAATTTGGTAGTGAACTGAGCTCGGCTTAGAATCTCATACTTTATCTTATATGGGCAAAACTCTACAACTGAAGATGGTTGGGGATTCATTAAATCACATGCAAACAACACTAGGCTGCTGCAGAGTAACCACACACTTCTTCACACAGTTGGCTATAAGTCTGTATTTTACCAGTTTTTAAGAGATTACCTGGGTTCATTAATCGCGTGTCAATGCCAGCTTTCCAATTTGAGTTGCATTTAATCGTTTTTTTTTTTTTTTTTTTTTTTTTTTAATAGTAAAGCTCGTCATCAGAATTCATCATGCAAATCCTCCAGACTCCAGTCAAGTACAAATGGTGTGAGGGAAACTATAATTCCAATTAGATAGGTAATCTCTTTTTTATATTTGTACTGTTGTTGCAAAGATACAAATATGTTTTCAATTAAAGTACTTATTGAAAACATATTTGTTTGTTTGCAACAACAGTACAAATTATCATATATATATATATATAACTATATTATAACTATTCATTTGAAAGTTTTTTATTTTTCATTTTTATTTATATTTTTACCAAACTGAACTTGATGGTGATGCAACAGGTGAATAATAATCATGGCGGGTTTGAATGTCTGAGTTTCTCGCTGTTGTTCTTCAATATGAAGCGAGCAGAGACTCACCACTGGTCAGGAAGTTGGTGGCCTTTTCCAGGATGGCTGGGGTCAGCTGCTGTGTGTTTTTCAGGTACTGGAGGATGTAGATGTTGGGAGCCAGGAGCGCCATGTTCTGCTCACCACATCCGTACGGCATCTGCAGCAGCCCATCCAGGTTTTTCAGGGCTCGGCCCAGAATGTCACCTGCACAAAAACACTGACTCACTGAACATCTAACTAACCTGACTGTAAATTTCAAAGACACTGCACAGAGAACATCAGTGATAGTCAGAGTGGTCAAAATGTTTTGCACAAAGTTTACCCAGGACTGATATTGAGGCACGGGCAGATCCAGCAATCACATTCTCAGGGAGCTGTAAGTCTATTTCCTCCGTCAAAGCCTCTCCTGTGCACAGACAGGGAACAGTTTTAGAGAGAAACTCAAGTAGCAGTCAATCAAAACAAAGATGTCATTTAGATTTAATGGATGGTCGATGGCAATTCATCCCAATCCGAAGGAAATATAGTCGCATCAACTCCTCCTACCTTTTGGACAGAGCAGCCAATTGTGGGTCTTTGTCATCTCAGTTCCTTCAGCCTGAGAGGGAAGGAGGGAGGGAATAACATTAACATTAACATTAACATAACATAACATAACATAACATAACATAACATAACATAACATAACATAACATGTTTTCTTGTATTAAATGAAAAAAATAATGTTTTTGGTTTAAACGTTTTCTCTGTTATCTTCTTTTTAAGTCACCAACCTTTACTATGAGAGATCGTGTCACAACATCAATACGACCTCTGTCTGGCACTGTCACAATTTCATTGTCACATGACGCTTGGGATGCCACAGCCTCAGCAGACACAGTCACGTTCACAACCCCTAAAGAGATCAGCAAATAGAGTGTGAAACCTGATTTAAATTTTTTATATATAAATAGAGTGGACAAAATAACAGAAACACCTAACACACAGTGTAGTTTCAATAAAAATGGATCATTATAACCATCATGAAGGTAGTATTTATTGTAGAGCTGTTGTATGTAATATTGTACACTGCATTCGTTTTAGCTAGGTGTGTCTAATAAACTGACAATTAAGTATATACATAGAAAAGAGAAGAGGACCTAGGATGGGGCTTTGAGGAACCCCTGAGGTACGGTGCTGAATTTAGTTGGAAAAACAAGTCAAAATGAGAACATAAAGTTGCACTGATGTGACATTGTGGGAGTACAGAGGCAGCATTAGGGTCAATAGCAACAAAAAGATTATTTGTTACCCTGGCCAGAGCGAATTTACTAGATTGAAATTAGTCAAAAAGGTCACTAATTAATAAGAATACCAGGAGGTCCTAGAGCTGGGAGTAAATGTAAAAACACAGATACAGGATCAACAGGACATGCTGGGTTTGATAGTGTCAGCTGGTGTATTGAGGGACTCCAGGATAAGGAATTAGAATTTTGACCTGCCGGTCTACAGCAAGTCATGCTGGTGAAGAGGAGAAGCAGGTTGTCCACCCTGACAGTCTTTAAATCTTATATCTGACAACATCAGAGTAGATAAAAGCTTGACCCTCACCTAAAGATGAGGGGACCATGGTCCAGCTGAGGGTCTTGCGCTCACTGCCACACAAACAGGATGTATACTGGTCACTAGAGTGGGGGGTGAGGGTGTAATCTAAGGAGGGTGCTGGAGTCACAGTGACCTGTTCAACCAAGACAACAGTATAGTTCATAAACTGAAGACACATCCCAGGCAACACAAATGTTAATCATAAATCCTGTTCATTTGTCACACTATTGTACGTGTAAAAAACATTACCATGATGCAACTGGACAGGTAGTTGAAGGTGGTTGCCTTCAGTTCAAAGTGCTCCCCCCGGATGATGGAGTAGGGCAGGGTGAGCTCCAGGAAGAAAGGCTGGAAGACAGTGAGTTCTTTACGCGGAGCCAAGCCAAAACCCTGAGGGGACAAACAGAAAGCCTCCGTCTCCCAGGTGGTGATGGTGTCTGGGACGGTGAAGGACACGTCCTTTGTTCCGGTCTCTCTGGATCAACAGACACACACAGACATGTATTTTCAGAAAGTCACTACTTCTTTTTAAAGGAAATCAGGCATCATCTGTCATGCTGAATAAACAACCTCAACGATTTACACAGCTGAGAAAATCAGATAATCAAAATGCATTCAAACTAATCTTTACAACTGTTTCATAACCATCAAAAACAGGGAGTGGTAAATCAACAAACATTTTCTTAAATAAACATAGTTTCTATAAGGTTCATGAGCTTTTTCCATCACCAAAAACTATTCTGCTATAATAACAACTTAATGCTGTATTCATTCGTTTGTTTGTTTTACTTGTGGACAGTGGAACATGGTGTGAACACAACACTGGCATATTATCACCTAACAAGTTGTTAATGGTGAAATTGTTGCCTATTAAACATCCAGCAGACACAGAGACACACTGGCGTTCATTTCTGGAGTCATAATTTTATCCACCTTGAAATGCAATTCCAGTGAAGTCCAAAAATATCTCTCGTTAGCTTGGTCTTCAACAACTCCTGAAGGAAATATGTGGCTCTTTTGCTGCTGAATAATCCACGTTCACAGCAGCTAAGTTTTTATGTCTGTAATAAAACTCAACAGGGCCTCTTGAATGGGGTTGATGATGGTGGGAGAGAAGGAAAGCAGTACAGTTGTTTGGCAGTAAGACCAAAACAATGAGCCAAAAGATGTTAAACTGCTCTGCACAGCTGAGGGAAGCTACAGTTTGGTGTTTGGTGTAGGTGGTGATCACTTGTAAGCCCTTTCACATTGCACACAGTCATTTGGTCAGTTCTTAATAAGAAAAACTTGATGAGTGCAGTTTTAAACATTGTAGAGTTGTCCTGAAGGTTTAGTGTTTAGGTAACCAGAATATTCCCAGTTATGTTTTAGTCGGGGAATTGTCGCTTCTTCATTTCCCTCTTGTAATCTGTACAGTGTGCTATCACATAAAGGTAAAATGCCTTACAAGACAAAATGTCTTGCATGACATTACTAAAAAAGAACCACATTCTGGTACAAAAGGTAGAACCTTGTTTAGGTGATCAAAACTACAAACAATATCATGTGAGAAGGCTTGTGATAGATGCTCACCCAACATCTACCAGGTCCCATATCCAGGTCTCAGGGAAAAAAGTGCGGACTGTCTGTATTGGCGGAGCCTCAACTACAGACTTGATTTCCACAATAGAAACAGGAGAGTTCACAACACGCATACGATGATTGGAAGTTGAAGTGAATCTGAACCTGAATGAGGGGGTCTGAAACAAAGGACCTGAAAAGACACCACACAATATTCTTTCAGAGACAAAGGCCAAAAATGACATTGAAATAAATGAATGCTGAAAACATTAGTGTAATAGAGAGAAAAAAAAAAAAAAAAGTTACCAGAGTATTTACGTAATATTTCAGGCATGACGCATACAGGCATTTCAATCAAATTAGTCGCCATCTTCAGTCCTACTCTCTATAGAATTCAACAACAGAGAGACATCACTGAAAAGTTAATCACATGGTCAACAACAAACACTTTAATGTTTCTTAATATTCTTTATATTGTATATTAATATTGAAAATGTATCTTAAGAATTACCCGGAACACACTAAAGGCGTCATCTTTCTCGGCATAGCGTGGATTAAAGTACCTTCGTCCCCACATCAAGCATTCTATTTGCTCTCGGACCTCAGATGGAACTTGGGATACTTCTTTGACAGGCAACAGGTCAAGTATCTGAAAAGAAAGCTCTGGATCAAGGTAAACCAACTAAAGTTTGTTGTTTGATGAAGTGCCTACAATTGGGGTACTTTTGGCTCGGCCTAGTGTACTTGCCAAAGTAGACTCATAGTTACTTTTTAAGAACAGAATAATAAAGTGTTCCAAAAGTGGGTGAAAACAGCAGTGAACAGCTGTATAAAGAGGGCCTGAGCTCAGCCTCAGAGCCCGAACATCTGGAATGAGCTCAGACTAGAGCTGCTTCTCCACCACATTAAAAGGAGTCAGCTGAGGTGGTTTCAGCATCTGATTAGGATTCCTCCTGGACGCCTCACAGTGGAGGTGTTCTGAGCATGTCCGACTGGGAGGAGACCATGGGCCAGATCCCAGTAATGCTGGAGGGACTACATATTCCATCTGGCCTGGGAATGCCTTGAGATCTACCAGGAAGAGCTTTGGAGAAGGATCTATAGGCTGCCTTGCTTCGAGTTGCTTCCTGTTGTTCTGTAATTGTTGACAAGGATTAGTGGGCGGATGGTTGATTGCAGCAGTTACCTTGTCTGCATTCAGAGTCTTCCCCGGCTCCTTGATGAGGACGCTCTGGTCGACAGCGCTCACGCCACAAAGAGAGTCTGGCTGGGCCGTCACCTGCATGGTGGTCTCCTCTCCTGGGACGGCTGAGGACGGAGAAAAGTCCAGCGACACCTGACACACGGACAAATTTATCTTGTCAATTTGACAAAAACATGTATTATGCTTCAGCTTCTTTTTCTTTTTTGCCTGTATGAGTTAGCACCAGCAGAGAGATGAAAGGAAATGAGGGAGATGCAACAAAGGTCCGCAGCCAGACCCCTTGCTTCCTGCAGAGCAGGTACATAAATGTAGTTCTGAGGAAGGTTTTAATAGCATTATTTTCACATTAACTCAGCGGTGGCTGTACTCCTAATTTATATGATTAGTGTTAATAAATACACTAATAAATTGCAGCAAAGGAAAGTTTTACAACCCTGATAATAACTCTCAGTAGACTTAGCAAAGAAGCATGTATGAATTTACTTATCTTCTTCAGCCAGGACCAGACTACGTAATATCTGCCCAATAATGGGACACTGGAAACAAAATGAGCTCTGATCACGACAAAGGATTGTTTTATTCCATGCAGCGTGCCATAGTGGAAGACAACTGATGCAGCATCTGGGATGATTGACACTCTGACAAAAAGACTCACATGTCACATTTTTCCTGCCTTTTCTCATCTAGTTTAGGCTTAGGCCTGATATTTGATATTATGAAATCTCGATTGATAACTAGCATGGTTTTAATAACTGAGAATAAAATATGTCCTATGTAGATAAAAACCGTCTGACTTCAGGCTACATATTGACCTTCTATATCACCAACCATTGTATACTGTATCTGACTCTGACTTCTGTACTGACCTTATGACTGAAGCATTTCTCAGTCTTGAAGTCAGTGCTGTTGGCGATCACTGTTTCACTGGGGAGGATTGCATAAGCTATGACCTGGATGACTGGTGCCACCTCTGGAGACACTTCCAGCTGAAAGGACACCTTTCCCTCAGTCACTGAAATAACAGACCAGCTGTTATGAACAACAATCATCAAACACATGCCTCCATATATCAATGACACAGTGTAAAATGTGTGTGGTCTTCTGTTGCTTTTATAATCAGTTGTACATGAATGTAGGTCAAACTCCCATGACCCCCCTCAGTACCATAAGGGTAAAGGGTATAGCCCTGCTTTCAGCTTATGGTTATTAGCCTACTGATGCTCTTGTACCCTCTCCATCTTTATAAAGTATCATAATATCTGGTTTCTTATGGTTCTGGCAGTTCCTTACCATGTGGAGCCATGTTGCATTAGACACAACCCAGACCAAAACTGAGGAAGCTTTGGTGTTCACAGGTTCTTTTATATCCCCGTTAAATCCACCTTTGTTGCAGTTTAGGTCCCAGATTTTGAGTTCACTCTATCAAACCTGTTTGTTTTTAATCGTACAATAAATCAAGTACCCTACACTTGGACTTAAATAATACAAAAAACTATTGTTAGGATGGTATAATTTTGAATCATTGTCATCATCATGTTGGTGATATTGCACAGGGATGTCAACAGTTTTGTTGTATACTGTTACAGAGCAGATAGAAGTCATTCCTTAAACTCACCATTCACGTCTTTGCCCACCTGAATTATCTCTCACTTCAATCTTTTTAAATCCTTGCATGACAATGGCTCCTCTGGATAAGACCTGGAGGATTTGAGAGAGAATAATCGTATTATTCCATCTTTGTCATAAAAGTATTAGTAGGGCACACTGAGAAATCTTTCACCCATCACTCACCAGATACATCACATCCACAGAGGCCTGTTTCTCTCCCACTACTGTGTATCGGATGGAGATGGTCTCTTCTCTGTCGCAGGGAAGTGGTTCATCCTTCTTCCTCACCTCCAGGGAGCTGATTGTTTTAGCATCAGGAGTAGAAAGCTTGGCCAGAGACACTTTGTGATGTCCATCCTCATAGAATGGAGTTCTAATTGGGGATCTTGACTCCAGTTGGCTCCTTACCTAGAACGAAGCAAACAAACACTGTAAATGAACCAGCAGCATTATCAACTTTCTGTTCCACTTCCAAGATTTGTGAAAGAGAAACTTGAGCAAGCACATGGTTGGATGGAGCTTTTGGTTCGCATTATCATCTTCCTGGATTACAGGCTGTAGTTTTAGTGCAACTTCTTACTTACATGCAGGTTGACGTCCCCTTTGTGGTTGGATGTGTTGAATGAAAAAGCAGCGATACCATCACTGTCAGTTGTGAGGTTCTGTAGCAGACGTGCTGAATGTTTGTTTTTCCCCTCAAACAGGTAGACCACCATGTCAGGAATGGGTGTATTATTGTAGTGAACTGCTTTAACCTGTTGGAAGCCCAAAGGTGTATTACTGTGGAATTACATGGCTTGAGTTCCACTGTGTACAAAATGACACTAAAGAAGCAAAGAAAACAGTTTGCACTTACTTTTCCCTCCACATTTGATCCTTCCTGATAAATCTTAGGCGTGTCAATAAAGGACAGCGTCCCGACTTTATAAGAAAAGCCTATATTCTTTGTTTGTGAAAATGAAATACCTGTAAGAAAACCTCATTGTTACTGTATAACTATTAGTTTTTTTATACATAAAATTATCTTTTTGAAAAGACAGTATCCAAACACTTACCAGTCCCCTCCTCTTCGACTTTGGTATAGAGATAAAATGTCCCTTGCAGCATGTATGGTGAGAAGGTGAAAGTGGCACAGCCGGTCTTATCTGTCTATAAGATCATCAAGTATGTGATTACCAATTCAAGTATACAGGTGTACACTGTCAGATATACAGAAAAGTGTGTGTGTGTGTACAGATATACAGACTAATTTATTAAGCTTGGCTTGACTTAGTTTTCAATAAAATATCTCTCTCAGTGTAGCTCACTGAGCAAATGTTCATTTATGTTCACTATTACTTACATAACAGTTAATATTGTTACAGTATTTTTTTTTCCATATAAGATCAGGTCAGTTTAGTCAGATTTATACAGGGACTACTAACATTTACAGTAAAAGACTTTTTGTGAATTACTGGTAACAATTTCAACCATTCATCTATTACCTAATTATTTTAACTATTCTTCCATTGTAATTAACTGATTTCAACATTTGTCCAATACTTTTAGCTAACTTTTATAACTGTTTACCGCCTATCTAGACCTAAAACTGTTAGTACTTTTAGCAAATAATTTCCCTGTTCATCCAGTTCTTTTAGCTAATGTTCACTATCTATCCAGCAATTTCAGCGAACTATTACACCTGTCTATTACATCTAGTATTTCTAGCTAACTATTATAACTGTCTGTACTTTTAGCTAACAAACTATTTCTAACAATTGTTTTACTCGCTTGCTAAGTAGTGTTCAGGCACTCTTATCAGCAACCAGTGTTGTGTTATAGCTGACTAAGTTGTACTGTGAACTAATTTTTTCACAGTTGGCCATTGTGACAGTAGCATCACACTGAACTAGAGCTATGACCCTTACACTAAAGGGGATCAAAGAATGATTTAGGCATTTGAGACTTCAGCTTTCCTTGAACAAAGTACAAGCCTGTGGCTGTTTAGATCTAATGCAGTGAGATACAAAGCCCCAGTCTGTAGTTTAAGATGTAAGATGTAATTTTCACAAATATGTCCAATGTAGCCTGTGCATATTCTCATTTGTCCAGGTCATGGTATCCTAAAGGAGTTTTAAATCAAAACGCAACTGGACTTGATTATTAGTCTGGGAAGACGTTTTCACCTCTCTTCCAAGAGGCTTCATCAGTTCGTGTACGCATCTGACCAGCCTGGTCAGATGCGTACACGCATCTGACCTCTTGGATGAGAGGTGAAACGTCTTCCCAGACTAATAATCAAGTCCAGCTGCGTTTTGATTTAAAACTCCTTTAGGATGTCCAATGTAGTGTTAAATGTGTACAGTAAGTGATATTCAGTATACATATGTTCTGTAATGGTTTATGTAAGGTCTATGTCTATATGCATATTGTTTCAGCAGAGAGATGAAACGGTTGCTATAGTAACTGTACCTGCTTTGTCTCCCTGTAGCATGGGTCCTCATAGTCTGTCTGATAGGTATGAGTTCGGCAGACCTTAACTTCAACGCTGCCTGGCACAGGCTGCCCATATGTATATCTGATTAGATGCAAATAACAAAAATGTTCATTACTATAGTGAACTGCTTTGTAGTCAACATTCATTCACTCACCAATCTGAGTGTAATTTCTCATTTGTAAAGACAGGTGCTTACTTTAGACATACTTCAGCTTTGAATTCCTCCTGTCCAATGCTTACTTCATCAGGTGTATTTATTTTCATGGCAAATTTAGGCAAAACTGGGGAAAAGTGTTGTTGTCAGCATTCTTGTTTAATTCCAAACCATGAGGTAAAACGAAAAAAAAAAAACATACAATGACTTACCATATTTCTCCACCTTGAAGCTGTGAGAGGTTTTCCTTCCATCAACTGACACAGAAATGTGGTAATTTCCTTCACGGGCCTCAGAGTTCAAAGAGTAAGAAAGCTGCAATATTTTACTATTCGAGTTTTCATTTAGCCACTGCCCAATCCTGTTGTCATTAGAATCCTGTTTAATAAAAGAAATGCATTTATGGCAAAAAAAATTCTACACACAAAATGCACAAAATTACGTCTTCTTTGTGAACAGAGGAGAACATGTAAACTCAGAAAGGCCGGTCAGCTCTAATGGGGCTCAAACCCAAGAAACTCTTGCTGTGAAGTGATAATGATAACCATCCTGCTAAAAAGATGGAGGACAAAACTTTCAGATCACATCCTCAGAGTGAACAATATCATAATTACTGTGTGTGTTAAGGTGTGGCATTTTAACCTTACCTTAATTTCGATGACATTGTACTGCAAAAAAAAAGATGCAGAGAGATCTGTTAAGGGACGAGCTTGTGTCTTGCCACCATGTAGTCTCCTAATGAGACTTTCAAATCAGCACAGGCAGGTCAACCTAAAGGGATCCTGGTTGGACTATTGACCCAGAGATCCATCAGGAGCTGATACTCTGGTTCATTGGGGCAAAACTTAAAACCTGCACCGTTATCACAGTGTCACTAACACTGTCCTTTGTAAATTAAATAGAAGAAAGAAGATACTGTTCAAATACTCACCAGCTGACCGACAGGTCTCAACCTGGTGTCCAGTGTAATGACCCTGAAATGCACTGAGAATAATCCAGAGATTAAATTAAGATTTTACAGTTTTTTCTCATATGGCTTTTTATTTTTTACTTTAGAAAAATACTCTAAACAATGTGACCGAGCTGTAGTATATAACACCATAGATAAGATCAGGGTTACCTGTTTGTCCAGGGAGGTAGATCGGTTTATCTGTTTGGACGAACGTCATTGGCTGATAGACTTTGATCATGACTTTCTTGATTTCTTTAGAGTAAAATGTGTCGCCTCGTACCTCCACCTCGAACTTCTGCACCTCTTTATTCTGCACTAAAGGAGCCTGCGAGAGAAAAATATTGTATAGAAACCAGGAAAACCGTTAACAAGGCAAAACCAAACTGATAATATTTATAAATTAGCAGACATTCAAAAAAATGGGGAAAGTGGAATAGAGGAAATGAATCAACGACTTTCTCTGGAGCTGACCTTAAAGTGAGTGCAGGTATGAAACTCTTCACTGGATGCTTGTTTGAGAAGGGTTGTGTTCTTCTCTTGGGAGATCAGAGTGACGGTCATGACCAGAGTCTCGTTGGGCTGCAGGAGACTCACACAGAATTTGGTTTCAGCTCCAGCTTCAAGAACCGCAGGAACAGCCACCATGTACTGTCTATAGACACAGAAACATTCAGCACTCAAACAATTCAGCAGAACAACAAGTTCTAATACTTACTGAAATGTGTTGGCATTGACATCTTTTCTGTGTGCAGTGTACAACTAAATTACACACATGCTATTGTAAGTTTTTGAGACAATCCAGGTAAACTTACGGTTTTGCCATCGTCCCAACCACACAGATCCAACTCAGGCAGACAAAGAGTTTCCATGTCCTTATCTGTAACCCAGAAAAACCCATGACTGACTGACATGAGCCTCTGTGCCAGCCTCTGTTCACTCTGCCACAAATCCATCCTCCTTCATCACCCAAATCACACAAACAACGTAACATATCCCTTAAGTCAATCATTTATAGACAAAACCAAAATCCTGAAGCCACATGTCACACATCCAGAGGACGGATCTAAGCTGTTTTAAAGAATAATCAACAACTTCATTTACTTTATACTATGGTTGGTGAAAGGATCTGTGGATTTGGGTTTCTGTCCACTGAAATGCCAGAGGGCTTTTAATCTGAAATGATTACAGGAAGTGTTTTGAGTTTTTATTGATGCGTGATGTAGGCTAGTAACTTTAACAGGAGCAGATTAAAAGGTGGCTTTGTAATAAAATAGTGCTATGACCAATGATACATATCAAACAGAAATAATTAGAAATAAAGACTTGTAACCTTCAGATGTTGATATAAATCAAGGCTCCGCACCACTGTTGGGTCGCTAAAGCTAGTGACAAATGCGCTAAGTTGGCTGCAGGCTGTAAACGCGCCCTGCTAGAAACCATATGTGACAATTTGTTTTGAACGAGCAACAGCCAATGGGGAAACTCCATCTTAGTCACGTGGCATTCAGCTGACTAATGGTGGAATTATGATCACCCACTCAGCTGGCAAAAATTTACAGCTACTGCAACTAAAGAAAAAATTATTTTCCGCTATAACCACTCTTCAGTTAAGAACTCTCCATCATTAGGGTCTGGGTACTGAAGTATAATTCGATTATACTTTAGTACCTATTATGCAACATTGCCCTTTAAACTGTGTGGGTGGTTCGGTTTTTCCATATAAACAGTGCTTTTCCTGACTGTTAAGTCAAAGGTAGATTTTGTACTAGTAAACAAACCATCCAACATACTAAAGTTCAACGTCAAGGATTGGGACGAAAGACACCCCTTCGAGGGCAGCCAATGTGCACATAGCGGACAGAGAAAATACACCATCTGTGTCATATGGAAAAAGCCTCACTCAGTGGAGGAAGTGGACTTGAGATGTATTCATCAAAGGCTTGACAATCAGGTTTTGATTTCTATTTCTAGGCAGTTCTTACTCTGCTTTTCATTTGTTATGCAGCAATTACTGAGAGGGTGGATGGTTGATACCTGCCCTCGTCTTTATCCTGCTGCTACTGTAACAGTACAAATTTCCCCCCGTGGGATTAATAAAAGTACATCTTAGCTTATCTTGTCTTGAAACCTAAATTTGTGTTAGGTTAACATAAATACAACTTAAATATTAAATATCAAAAAAGGTATGTATTGTTACACTCATTGAACAGCAGAGAAATGTTATGCTTAATGCACACAATGAGAGAAGTTTGGTAGAAGAAAATAAATAGGTTGAGACAGCAGAAAATATATAGTTCAAATGTACAATTAAAAATCTGTCATCATATTTTAAGAGATTTCTGTTAATTGAACAGAAACATACTGGTTGGAAAATTATCTTATTGTTAAGTTTCCTAACATGAATAACAACAAGGTAAGAAAAATAAACTGGGGAACAAACACAAAACAGCTTTAATACCTGTAACATCGGTAGTTGGGTGAACAGGAAACGGGACATGTACGGAAGGACCAGAACTGAGGACAGCTACCTGTTATCTGTATTATGTACTGCCCGCCATGGGAATTGGGCAGAAAATACGCAATTTCTACTTTAAATAGGGACGACAAAAAACAAGATGGGTGCTGAATTTGTGGTGGGAAACAAGTCTAATGAAAAAGATTTAATAGATTGAACAATGTACGTGCTGAATGTTACCGAAAGATACGTGAATGATAGCTGCCGTTACCGACCCCTGGCCGGAGAGTTTGTATATCACAAATTAAATATCATTACGCAACAGTTAGTTCCGACCAAGTACATGTAGAGTTGTTAAATTAACAGTTAAATAAGTAATATCACACGAGACGGAGTTATGTTATACTGAATATCAGTACGGCTGTGATTCCCTCATAGATAAGAGCCCGCACTACTACGAGTGCCATATTAGTTAAATAAGCAATAACAGATTATGATTTGTTTGTTTATTTTATGGTTTAGTTTGCTAGGCAATAGTTCCGGAACTGGACTGATACGGGACTGTTGCAAAGGAACACAAAAATTTGAAAAACTGAGATGTAAAGTGCACACTAGCTTGCTACTCTACACGTTACCTCAGGTGAGTGCTTAAGCATCCAGGCTTCTTCCCTTCATCCTTTTCTGACGACCATACATCGTTTAAATCAAATGTTGTTTCTGGAAATATATATTTATCTTTGCAAAGTTTGTGTCAATCTCAGATAGACAACGACCGTTAATGTAATGCTAATCAACGGTTAATGGAACACAGGCGGAGGAAGCGGAGTGATACATGTAGTTAAAGGTCCCAGTGCTGTTGTACTCTATATCAGCACTCATGGAATGCCTCTCGTCCAATCAAATTACTTGGTCGGAACTAACTGTTGTACAATTAGTGTTACATTAACGGCCGTTATCTATCTTAGATTGTAGCAAACTTTGCAATGCGAAGATGGATATATTTCCAGAAATAACATTTGTATTAGACTATGTATTGTCGTCAGGATGAAGGGAAGGAAATAAGCCTGCACACTTCGGTGCACACCTTCAAGTGCGCCCGTATGACAGGTCAGGAAAAATGTTTTATGTGTTGCTTAGCAAAAGTCCAGCACTAGTTCAGTTGCGGAACTATTTGTTTTGGCGTAGCTAAATAAATGATGAAATAAATATGCAAATCATGATCTGTAGTTACTTATTAATGTTAACTGATATGGTGCTCATAAAACTGTTGTATGAAACCAATATCATATATGAGGGAGTGATGAACAACTGAATATCAGCAAGGTGGTGATTAGGTACGAGGTCGCAGCCTTCACTAGTTCTTGAGATATTTCACAAATTAAAAAAATAAATAAATTTCAGTGTGGCACTCAAGGAAAGGTTACGGGATCAAGTCATTACGATTCCTCCTCTGCGGTTTATAGTCTGCAAAGACACTACAGGAACTGTAGCTACTACTAACATAGTAACTGTAAATGTGTTTTTCATCATTATTTGATAATTTATCTTCTATAAATCAAATAGAAATATACTGAGGTAACAACAATTGTATCACATTTGTACATACAGTCATACTCATTCGTTTGAGTTAAATTATCTAACGCTTACTTAAATGAATGCCTCCTTAGAGAGCCATGAAAACACTTATTTTTGAATATATTTCACCATTTAACCTTTGTTTTGGTATGTGGATGAAATGCCTGGCATAAATACACAACTGCCGAAACTGGAATGGTGCACGAGCACAAAGATGAAATAGTGGATAAACGAAGTGAAACACCAAACCAGTTCTGAGTGGGACATTCATATCACTTTACTTTATTGTGCATTATGCATTAGTTTCAGACACATTTAGACACATACAGTAGTTACACAGTAAATATGTTGAGCAAATGTTGACTGTTGGTTTGTACGTGTCTGTTTACACAAACAGACATGGAGTTTCACAAGGTACACAAAATGTATCTAATAAAAATGCTGGTGTTTTTAAATATGCTGGTATCCGTGACAACCCGATGACTGACCACACTTCTCTCTTCAAGCTGCAAAAGAACAAGAAGATATAATCCACGGTGAGGATTTAGTCTACAGTATGTTACAAACATATTTTTTATACAACATGAAACGTGAAAGATTCTGAGTAGTTTAAGACACTGTTGCTGTTTGTGGTTTAGATTTCTCAGCCATAAATCTATTCAGTAAGAAATATTGTTGTGTTATTGCATCATTAAGGATCATTACCTGCAGCACAAGGGTAGATGTACTGTGTCTCAGCCTGGTCACCTGAAAGGAAAAAGAACAGGAAGCGAGATGGTTATGTTTTGTTTTTTTTAAATCCAACTTTCTTCATTTGTCCAACAGTCCAACACATTTCAACTACTCAGTTTTGGTATGTGTAAAAGGGATTATGGTGTGTGTAGGAGGTCTGAGTATTAGTTTTACTTGGCTGGTAGTAGTCATAGATCTTGACCACGGCTGGCTTCAGGTTCTGCACTGGGAGCTCCTGTATGAGCTCTAAGCTGTGGTTGATGGCTGTGTCCTTTGGTAACTGTTGGAAGAAAAACAGACGACACGATCAGTAACAAATCTGGAGAGCACCATCTGTTGATCCTCACTGTGAATTCCTCTCACCCCCTGAATGTAGACCATGATGTGGTCTTGCTTTTGTTCGACACGGTTCACCAGCAGAGCACGTTGGAGCTGTGAGGAGACGATACTCAGCTTCATCAACGCATGAAAACTCATCAGTTTCTACTGAGCTCAAAGTTTCTCCCGATAACTCACCCGTTTCAGAGACTCTGGGTCTGGGACAAAGCCAGAAAGCATTTTGATATCCAGGATCACCATGTTGGTAGTGGTCTCCTTTCCACTATATCTGCAACAGAACCATAAAAATGTGATGTTACACACCTTCACCCTGTTCTTCAGAGCTCTACTAGTTGTACGCATGGATGTTTTTCATCTGAGACTTTGGGGGATTTGTTTACAGTTAGGATATGTTTGAGCTACGTAGTAATGTTTCCCACACGTCCATCCACCAACAGTTCCTCAGTACAGCTGCACTGTGCAGATTATTGTTCATCAAAAATGTCAGTATTTCCTCTGTCATTGCTGTAACTTCTATCTGCTTGTCAATTACTTACAGAGACTTAAACTTCAAATGGAGTTTGGGTCTTTGAGATTTGTTGTTGCACACAGCCTCTGGTCTGACCTCAACACTTAAGGTTGTGACATCAGTAGGAGTTGGGATGTTGTAGTGAAGAGAAATCTGGAAAACAGGCACACAAGGAAAGTTTAATATTAAAAAAAATACTGAATTTCCTTCACTGAACTTGGTTCAAATTTATGCTGCATCAAAGTTTATCCTTCGAGAAGCATCATGCTGTTTTCAAGCGGGTCTCGTGTGTGCATCCTGGTTTTAGGTTC